GGGGGGGGGGGGGGGGAACTGATAATTGTTCGCCTTGAACACAAATGATTGGAAGGTATAATAGTAGCTCTGGGGGACTGGTGATGGGTGGGGAGGGGGGGGGGGGTGCCCCCTTGCCCCTACCTGCGGGCGCCCATGGGTGGGGGTTATGTGGAAAATATTTGTTAAAACTTTAAATAAAATTGTCAATGTCCTGTCTTAAAATTTTTGACAGTTTCGATTTCTTTCTCAATAAATAGCTGGTGATTTACTAAGACTAAGAGGCGAAAAGCGGGAAAGTAATGAAATATATGTCAGTAGCGAAATAAACACCATTGCAAACAGATGAATAATAGAGCAATTTGGTTCCATCCAGAAACATAAAATCACTAATACTGCCTCTCATTTTACTTACCACAAACCAGGGTTAACTTAGGTGGCATCTAAATAATTAAGTGCCATCTATCAAACTAGAGCTGAACAACCATGGGCGCTCGCAGGAAAGTTTGTCGAGAAAAAGACATTAAATTGCATAGGAAGGGGGCTGTAATGTATCTAAATTATCTAAATTATTTAGTATCTAAATCATCTTCATTACTAGATTTTAAAAAAAAAATGATCAACGAAAATGGCTTAAACTAAAAAACAAAATAGGAAAGAAAAAAAAAATCTACCCGTCCTAAGAGAAATCAACATAGCAAAAATTAAAAAAAAAAACTAAAAAGAATAAAACTATGAATCTATGAAATAACATGGAGAAAAAACAATTAAAAACAAAATAATTCTCATACTATTATTGTTATCACACACGGCTCTGAAACCATTTAATCTGTACGGAGCCACTCCGGGTGCGAATAGTTATTTATCATGAAAGGTACCTGGGTACCTATAGATGTAGTGGTTAAAAATCTGCATCCTTTTTTACTATAATATATTCAACTGTTGTTATGACGTTATTAAATATAACGTCACAACAGTTAAATAAATGTATTATATATAATAATATCACCATCCACCCAGTTTCCAATTCCAAGCATTGGAAAAAACAATTTGTTGAATTGTGGCGGAGTGTTAAAAATCTGCATCCTTTATTAAAGTGCCTTTATTATTATAATAAATTCAACTGTTGTTATGACGTTATTAAATATAACGTCACAACAGTTAAATAAATATATATATATATATATGTTGTAGCTGAAAAGATAATTTGACCAATTTTACTTTGAAACTGGGAAGAGTAATACATGTTTTGATATATTTCATAGCAGAAATTAAAATAATTGCAATTTTATATTTATAACAAAACGTTTTTTTAAAAAAAAATTGAAAAAAAGAAATTGTACTAAAATATTTTGGCAGTAATTATAATTTTATTTGGGAATGCGGGTACCGGAAGTGAAAGAAATAATTCTTTTTCCGGTTAATGGCCGTGATTTCTATTTAGTAATATCAAAGGTACAATTATATCTTTAAAATATCGTCTTTTATTGTAATTCACCGTTGATTTTAAGTTTAACTTTTTAGTTCAGAAATAATTGAAAAGATGTAAAATGAAGTTATTTATTTATATTTTAACCTCTAAATATCTGTTTGAAGGGTGCGAATTCCGGCAAACTTGTCAAGTTTTTTATGTTTGTCAATATTATTCAATATATTTTTTGATAAATCGAAAGCTAGTTTTGTTGGTTCTAATTAAATTTCTGCGGCAAATGTAGATTCTCTCCAAGCAATTAACACAAATTGTTATGTATCGTTTTTCATTTACAACTTACAGCTGCTTGCATTTGCTTTGCTCAACCTGTTAACCTGGGCAATATCACTGGATATTACTATATTCAGACCTGTTCTTAGCAATAATAATATTTGGATAGTTTAGCCAGTTTAACTTTTAATTTTCATTAGTTACCTGATTTATCCACGAACTAAATGTTGGTCAGGCAAGGTTCAATTACATTTGTTGCAAATATTATGTAGGTCTATTGTCTACAGTTTATTTTGGATTGAGAACTCAATAGTTGCAGTGTGAACCAGGATAGTACAGAAATAAATGGCTCAGAACTCCCCAAGCATAATAAATATGTAAGACAAAGGAAATTAAATGCTTATGTAGTGCACTGTAAAATCCAAGTTAACCAATTTATTTTTACAAAAGTTATGCTGATCAATCACTTTTCAGTTGAGTCTGAGTACTCTGAGAGTAGGCCAAGAGTAGACCTGCTATCATCAGTAGCTTCTGTTAAGTGAGAAATAGTAGGAGGAGTTTAATGGTGGGCTGACTTCAAACAAATATTTATTGTTTATTTTAGTTAAACTGAAGAATTAAGTTTTCAAACATATAGTCCATTCAATTATCTTTCATTTGATACCTCATTTTGTCATACAAATTTACGAAGCAAACAATATTTTAAATCGTTGCTTAATCCCAACCTCTCACTTCTGGTACCCGGGTGCAAATAGTAGCAGCCTTATCAATATTGGCATTGGAGGGAGTAGACAATGCCCTCAATTCATATGAATTGCATCTTGTATTTTTCAGTTATAGCTGAACACAATGCCTGTCGACGCTGTTGAGAAGCCATTAGAAGAGTCCAAGCCTGCAGAAGATTCTGCAACTTCTGATTCAGATGATGATGACACACCACCTGAACTTGAGGAGCATGATGCTGCTGCTATGCAACAGCAAAGCCAGGTTTGAATTCAGAAAGTTTAGAGCAATATTTAGAACAGGGGTCTCAAATCATCCGGCGGCTGCAGGAGGTATAGTCTTGATTGAGACTGGGTCGCATCAAGTATTCCACAAAAAAAGCAATTACAAATTCAATGGCAGAGGTTTCTCTAAGAGCCTTAACACAAGTTTTGTGCAGAATGCCCTGACCGCAACGCCAACACTGACAAGTTACCCCTGGTACCTTCTTGTTGAGTACATTCAGCTCCTTTGTTATGTCAACAAGACAAGCCAAGTCCGTGAGCCATTTTGGATCACTTAGTACGTGAAAAACCACCCTATCCTCCATGAAGGCTTTAAATGCTAAAACGTGTTCAAACAGTGGCCACGAGGAGGCCATATTTATGAATTATTTATGCAAAGGAAGATGCTAATGTATGGAGAGTGAAAGGCAAGGCCTTTTTAAACCCATTTTGAATGTGACCAAGCTGACAGGGTTGGAATTTCCTTCACTTGTAAACACTAGCTGCACTTTTAATAGGGATTCTTTGATACTGTATCCCATTGCTAAGATTTACACAATTATGGTTGTGCATTACCCACAAACTTTGTACAAATTTTCTCAAACTGCACTTTGGTCATGTTTGTCTCATAAGATGCTATAAAACAAAAACCTTTCCTCCGATTTTAAAACTGTTCTTGTCAGTATAATCAACATTCAACTATATACAAACATAATGAGACAGAATGTCACATTATAGATATAAGAATGGAGAAAACGCGCCGGCCACATTAACACTTAACTTTGCTGTCATGTAGGGGGCCACAAAATATCGCCTTGCAGGCCCCGAGTTTGAGACCCCTAATTTAGGAGATTGTTAATCTTTGAAGCTACAGCTTGAAGAATTTTTTTAACGTTTGTGTTTTGCCAAGGGTTTGGGGAATCTTCTGAAGATGTAATGATCATTATTATACTATATATAGTGTAGGCCTACTATACCCAGTCTAAATTCATTAGAAGTTAGGAGTCTGTAATTTGAAAATTAGTGTTAAATGTAGTTAACTTTCCTTTACATTCTGTTATTAACTTAATTACAGGTAGCAGCAGCAGCTGGACTTCCAGAAGAGCTTGTGTCAAAAGCCAAACAAAGTCGTAGTGAGAAAAAAGCAAGGAAGGCTATGTCAAAGCTTGGTAAGCAGTAAAAATATTGTTCCAAGTGTTTTTAATGGGATTAATTCTTTTTCAGTCCCTGGGCCTTGGCTGGTATTTAGATTAAGATTTCAGATGTGGCTAGTCCTAGACTGTCTATGCATCAGAAATAAATAATATACCCAGTATATTATTAAATCTTTGTCTCCCGAATTGGTTTCCTCATTTTGACGGAATTATATATTTTGCGTGTTTGTTATGCACTACTGTTATCTCTATACCATCATAACATTTTTGGTTTTTATTATAAATGTTTAGTTTGATATGGAATTAAAAGGAAATGCATGCTCTTTACAGACAATGCAAACTTATCAATGTGATTATGATCAAAGGAAAATAGAAATTTTAATTACATATCTTACCAAATGTTTACAAGATGCTCATTCCAAGTAACACAGAGAAAATTTTATATCCAAAGTTTGTGTAATAAATTTTTTTTTCCTGAACTATATCAACGTGTGCATCACAAATAATAAAGATCTCATTAAATAAAAGAAAAAAGTGAAACACCAGGTCACATTATCCATTGCCACAGCCACAGAAAAAAACCAAACTATTTCCAATGGAAACTATCTGTTGCTATTAAAAAATCCAATGTTCCCTCTTAGGTTTGCTGGTTCGTGTGCAAAATCGTACAGTTGTGTGCAAGGTTTTACAGCATAAATTTTTGTGTGTGCAAAATTGTGCATCCCAAAAACATACACTTAATGGAAATTTGCTGCGCGGATACTAAAAACTGCTGTGCTGCATCTGTGAGTTAGCTGCGCAGCCGCACAGCTTTAAGGGAACATTGACTGTATATCCTTGTATGTATTAACATTTATTATGGTAAATGGAAAATTTACCATAAATTTGTCAAATCTTTTCACCTGGGTTTAACTATGGTAAACCTGAAAACTATCGCATGGATGTGCGGATTTGACTTACATCCGGCACAAATTTGTACAGTTCGGCCTGTTCTATAGTGTTAGCACACTTTCTGTTTTGGAGCTAATAGGCACATTTTTTGCTCCTATAAGTCTCTCAATGGCACAGGGATGTCCACGGCCTGGTCAGGAACTTCCAAATTTTTTCCCCTATCTGGAATAATGGTTGCAGTATATTCTTTTTGTCCGCAAGTTGTAGTTTGATTTTCTGAGGGTTATTTTTCTAAATTTTCTCTGATCTTTTGGGCTTGTGAACTAATTAAAGGCTACATTTTACACTTATTTCCTGTAGCATGCAAAGAAAAGTGATCCGAGGCTTCAAATTCTTCTTCTCTCAAACATTTTGACATACCAGGGTGCTTACTTCCCATTGACCAAAAGTCATGAACAAATGGACTAGAGTTCATCCCGATCATTGTTGTTACTGCCAGAAACTATCTGTTGATATGGTGTTCTCATATTTTCAATAAGAAATATGTACAATAAATGTCCCATATGAAGCAAATATATATATGTAATTTCTAGCTTCTTGGACTGAAGCCTAAAGTTCTGTTTTAATCTGCTAAAATGTGCATGCTGGTATGTTTATGTTAAGGCTTTGTTTATAGCAACAGAAAATGTGACATTTAAGGAGGAAATCATTAAATTTTTAATGCCTCCAACATTGTACAGTTGTCTATCTGAAGTAAATTGTATTTACATCTAAATGTTTGTCAAAATAAACTCTAAATGTGCATCCGAAGTTAGACTTTATTCTTCCACATTGTGGGAATTATTCTATATTACAATATAGTGGTAGCTATTAGCCTTTTAGTCGCTTCCTTAAAATTAGGAACACTGAATTACATAGAGTTACAGTGAGGGTATGGTTTTAAAATTAACCATGCATACCATACTGCTGTGAATGTGTTTAGACTAGATCTAGGTGTACTACAGCTGTAAATAATAATCAGATGTCATATATGGTTTATCTTGTTATCATCAAAATATTTATATTAAGTTATGTTTTTCCATGATGGAATTCTTTGTAAAGATTTATTGTTTTCAACAGGTTTGAAGCCAGTTCCTGGTGTAACACGTGTTACCATCAGAAAAGCAAAAAACATTTTATTTGTGATAAGTCGACCTGATGTATTTAAAAGCCCAGCATCTGATACATATATAGTCTTCGGTGAAGCAAAGGTAAAATTGAATGTGAATTTATGTTGCTGTCAATCCAGTGTCATTCCATGTGTAGTGTTGTGTTGTAATTTTTAATCTCAAATGTTTTAGTTTTTTTATCATTTTTTTTGTATTGACTTAAGTAACATTTTCTTCTTGTTATCAGATTGAAGATCTTAACCAACAAGCACAAGTTGCAGCAGCTAACAAATTTAAGACATTTGATTCCTCGGGGGCAGCTGGTGAACAAGCCAGCACTGTGTCACAGCCCATACAAGAAGAATCTGAGGAGGAGGAAGAGGAGGTCATTAGTTGTTGTTTTTTTTATAGTTTTTTTTATTTACTGTTCATTAGGACTATCATTAGACTCTCAGATAGAGGGCTTTTAACTGATTAACTACCAGATTGGAAAACCTGCTGTGGCCGAATTAAATCTAGGTCACATTTTCTTGTAGGTGTATGTACAAATTCAGCTGCAGTTTTCTTAATTATTAACATATTCTAATGATTAATGAACCATTTTGTAAGTAATGGAATTGTCTATGAGATAAAATATTTGTAAAGTTAAGTTTTGTTTAGAATTTATTAATTGTTAAATTAGTATTTACAACAGAAAAACAATTTAAAAAATTATATATAAACATGCAAACTTGCACATATGCCTCTAGTAACCCTGTCACTTGTTGCCATGGTAAAAAAAAATAGTACAATAGTACAATTTTGTAACTAGCTTAGGAAACATTCTGCGGATAGCATAGGGTTCGAATGTAAACATCCTGTCTGTAAATTAAAATCTTGAAGCAAAACGAGAACGGAATAATATTTGACTCTATTTACTACGACACAAACATTGGAGCTACCAGCTGCTGGTGGCCATAGCGGAAGAAAAGCCGAGCCGCGGTAGTTAACCAGTTAAAAGAAAATGTATAAGCAGTTAGCATTTGTCACTCTTGAATTCTTAGAATTATTTGGTGTTGACCAGTTTTTAAAAACTATCCAGCAGTGTACAAGTATAGGCAGTGTAATGTTTATTTTAGATTAATTTTGTTACTGGCTAACTCTTACAGCGTAGTTCTGCTAGTGGCTCTTGTCATTGTTTTTAATTTATTTTCAAGAGTATTCAGAAGTTAAATACTATTAAAAGTGTAAAGTTTTAATTTTTTTTAAATTGATTTTGGGCGTCTCATTTAAATTGTATTTTAGCAACAGTCTATTTTAACACATGTCTATATTTCAGATTGATGAGACTGGTGTTGAACAAAAAGATATTGAGCTGGTCATGTCACAGGCTAATGTCTCTAAAGCTAAGGCTGTCAAAGCTCTTAAAAATAATGGCAATGATATCGTTAATGCTATTATGGTAAGTGGGATGGAATTTTTTTTGTTTTATCTTAATTCCTTTATTTGTATTTAGTTTTTCCTTCATTTAGTTCAGTATAGATTTATAGTACAGTGTACCCCAAGATATTTTTTAAGTTACTCTAATCTTTCACAATAGTGCTGTGGGACTTGCATATTGTTTTTAAGTGATTGAACAATTTCATTTTGGTTATGCTAATGATGCAGTAATGATTATTACAGTTCTTAGGACAGTGCTATTTTGTACTTAAGTTACATTAGCTCATTCCCTCCTGCAATGCTCCTTCCTTATTTAAATTATGTGCCTGAGAAAGGGAAGTAACTCCGTCTTGCAATTGATTTACATTTGTAAAATATTTATTTAAACTGCTAAATATTATTTAATTTTAACGAATTAAGAACAAATGCAACAAAGAATGAATACGGTTTAATGTAAAAACAACATTAGTGGGGGAAAAAATAACTAACAATGGCCAAAAAATCAATTTTTGGCACCTGAGACGCGCTGTAGCGCTGTACTAAAGCACATGTAGTTTTAAAGTGAAACAAGATAAAAACTTCTGGTTTTTAAATTAAAATCTGGCTGAACCACGCCATCACCGGAAGTCTCGGGGGATTCGAGATTTCATTGCTATTTTTAAATAGATATGAGAAAGGTGTGCCGCTATGTGCCGGGACGCATTTGGACGCATCCTGCGAAACCTATAAAGGGCGCATTTAGTCGCAAACGTCGAGTAACTCATTCCCTAAGGCAGTGCTACTTCCATAATTAATTTATATTCCTCTGAAAAGGGAAGCAACTCAGTTTTTAAATGGATTTACATTTTAAAATATTTATTTAAGCTGCTAAATATTAATAAATGTTAATAATTTAGGATGAATGCATCAGAAAATGAATAAGGTTTAATAAAAATAAAACAAGCTGCGAAAACATAATGAAAAATGGCAAAAAATCTATTTTTGGCAACCCGGATGAACACATGCTACATATAGATGCAGCTTACTAAAGCACACATAGTTTTAAAGTGGCACAAGATAAAAACTTCCGGTTTTTATCACACCATAGCCAGAAGTCTTGAGGGACGCGAGTTTCATTGCTATTTTAGATAAAAATGAGAGGGGTGTGTTGCTCTGCGGCGGGGCCCATTTGGATGCGTCCGCAGGAACCCCCAAAAGCCACATTTAGTCACAACTGTGGGGAATGAGTTGAACCTGACAGTATGTATTTTATGGACTGATTTGAAACCAGTTTATCAGTACCCAAATAGTTAGATCGAAATCAGGTTAGGAAGTAATGGATTAAAATAGAAATCTGAAATTTACTTTTTAACATGTTTTCACTTTCATAATTTATTTTTTTCTATTTCAGGAATTGACAATGTAGCCTTTTATGGATGTGGAGTGTGTGCCAGCTGTAAACTTTTGTATTTTTACCTGTACTGTTGCTAGAATGACCTGCGATTAACTCTTTGATTTGTTCAAATAAATCAAACTCTTTTCTTATATCTTGTAGTTTGTTCATGTCTTTAGATATTGTGGCTTGTGGTCTAGTTCATTTATTTGTACATAATCATTAGCCAACATAAGGTTAAACTCACATATCTCTGAAAGGTGTAGGATTATAACCCAGCAGTCTATATAACCTAAAAGTTTTAATGGGTCAATTAATGGCCGAGACTGGTGGTCGGCAAACTGCTGCTCACTAGCCACATGAAGCTCTTTAAAGAGTGCGGCTCGGTCAGTCAACCACAAACATGGTTCTTGAAAAGAAATTTGGCTCTTAGAAAAAAATTTAACTTTAATCGTCCTGCTGCTGATTTTTTGCTCTTTTTGACTGAGTTTGCAGGCCACTGGCCGAAACTACCAGTCAGCTCAATGAAAGGTTCCATAGTGGCAACTTGCCAGGAACCCCTTCCCAATAACTTAACGGGAAACTTTTTAAGTGCCTATCATTGATCTAAGTGTTTGAACGAGGTGACGAGAGCTAAGAGTATTACGGGTCCTCTGCAATACAATCTCATCAGATTCATTTGTAGTCACCTGAACTATTTATAATAACCAAAGATGTTCTGGCAAAAGTTTTTTTTCTCCAAAGGGCTTGGTTATTCTGACAACGCAATGATCCAACAGTAGCCTTGTCACTGTTCACTATTATAGTATAATAGACCAATTTTATGTACGTACCGGGTAACAAGAAAGCTCAAAAGATTTTAAGACGGTACTGGTATGTGGTGCGATGTAATCAAAACCATTTTAAAAATCATTTGGCTCACAATGAAAGTTTAAAGCATCTTGTTTTAAAAGGTGACCTAACATCTACCCTGTTCCTATAGAAAATGAGAAATGTACACTTGTGCAACTTGATGGATGGGAGTGAATATGTATTCCGGTACCATTTATACACAGTGAAAGGGTATACCATGTTTCTTAATGGCGTAGCTAGGGTGGGTTCAGCCCCCCCCCCCCCCCCCCCCCCCCCCCCCCCCACCCAATATAATAAGCAAACAGAAAAATGCAGTTATCCTTCAAAATTTCGCCCCTCCATATACATTACAACTAATACAACAAGGAAAAATGCGTACCTTCCGCACTGCGTTCCTATGCATTTGTAAAACTAAAAAGAACGTATCGATGATACCGGTATATCCCACGCTCTTCATCCCTGATTCCTAAGATCAGTAAGGTACGATCAATGAGAATTTCTGTTCCCTCACCTCGAAGTTATAGTGGTAAAAGATATAAAAATTCATTTGTTCCCCATCTATCGGAATATAATAGCGTGCTCCTCCGGCTGTCAAAAAAAATCTAAGAAATAATGACTCTTAATTAAAGTCGCATTGTTACTGTGAACTTTCACTTCCATGGCAAATGGCGGCTCATTTTTGCGTTTGATAAAAACTCAAGATGTCTAGTGTTAAATTGCTATAGCTTAATGAATTAAAAATGTTGGTCAGCGTAAGAATATGTATCTATGTGCTGAATATGAATACCTGCATGCACATTGTAATTTTTAAAAAAACAAAAAACACACATTTCATATGGATCAATAAAATAATCTTATATTTATATTACTTATATTTAACTTTTTGGCCCCCAGTTGTATATTTCATGGATTGGGGCGACAAAATGCTTGACCTGTCCATGTCGCCAGTAACCCTAACTGCACCACTGTTCGAGACCCATTCCACCGCGACGATTGTCAAACTCCCTATGTGTGCCGGTACTAGATTGGTTAATTCATCAAGTTCTTTAACACGTTGCAATTCATCGTACTAGCACTTAATTAATTAACTCAAATCCTTTTCCATAATAAAAAAAAATGCAACTTAGATATATAATTATTAGCTTAGACTTAGACTGTAAATTCCATATACACATGTACAGCGCAGTTCGATATCAGAGAGAAATAAAACACAACCATCTTTCACAAAGTTTAACTTTAACGACTCCACAACCAAAACGTACGTCACAAAAACAGACTAGACAAATACGTCAAAATAAACATAAAAATAGGTCACAAAGTACGCGCGGGAAGAACGTTCACTAACTAATTAATCTCTCAAAACTACTGCGCTTAATGCAAGCATACTATTAATATCCAGTGCGCAGCAATAATTAGTGAACTACTGCGCTGGACACCGATCAAACATGCATGCGTAAGACGAAACGAGCCAGAAGGAATGCCAAAGAAAACCAGATGAGAATCACCTGTGATAAGTGGAGGATCGGTATCATAAGTCACTAGTGAAGCTGTCAATAAAAAGACGTTTCAGGAAAACGGACACCTGCATTCAACTCAAACATACAGTAGGAAGCTGATGGGAGTTTTTAAAATAAACCTTTAATTTTGCGCACTGAAGCTCATAATAGATACCCTTTTGTATTGCACGCCATGTTTCGCACTATTGAACCAATTGTTTCCACATGTGACGACAGATTTCTGTTGCCAACGCGATGTTTGAAAAGGAACACGAATGGCGATGAGAAGTCTGAAACTATCGCTGATCATAACAATGTTTCAGACGGTCGTCACCGCATAGCTTTAGATGGCTCCCTGTCCTACAGAACGGGGCATTTCTATGAGAGGGGCAGCCATCTTGCAGTTGCTGCTCTCCTTAATCACTCTGTCGTCAGTTGTGGCAGGTAAGTTGAGTGAAATCTTAGTTAGAGACCCCCACCGACCCAGTATGAAATGGCTTACAATATGCCTTCGAACCCCCTTCAATATAAGTGTTTGTTACTCATTTCTGAATGTGATGATAGTGTTCAATAAAGTTTTACCCTGTTTGAAAACTATGTCGTCACAACATTCCTATCAAAATGCATGGAAATATTCTACGAATCGCGAGGCATCCACTGTACAACTATTAATGCATGCACGTAGAGCAAACAAATGATAAGAGTGAATTTCTGTTACAAAAAAATGATATCAGTGCAATGTTAAGTTTCTAGCCTAGAAGTCTATGGTCATGGACCAACAAACTGAAAGAGGTACAGGGTCGATGGAAAATTTTTGTTAAAACTATGATGTTATGTAAAAGTGTTAGACAGCCATAAATATTTCAAGTACGGTAGATTGATGGTACACACATTTAAACAAAATGTGTGTGGGTGTAGGGACCTAAATAAAATATTAATTTTTAATTATCGCTACCGGTACACAAAATTCAAACGTTTCGTTAGATGCCTTCATCAGTACAACAAAGAACTTTCGTATCAGTATAAATTAAATTTACATATAATTATATATATATATATATATATGTGTGTGCATGTGTGTGTCCTAAAAATTAAAGAACTGAACAAGAATGGGCACCAGTCCCTAATGAAAACAAAGCTCAGCACAACGGGGTGAAAGTACAAGTATAAGTACAAGTGTAAGTACAAGTGTAAGTACAAGTGTAAGTACAATTTTAGAACTTAACAGGAAAAAATGAACTGCAAATTATGTAAAATTGTGAATTTCGTTAATACCGTATGGAATCTATGTACCAAGTATGTTTATTAATTTATTTCCATATAAATTCTATCCGGTGTATTACTCGCATATAATATATCAGTCAGTAACTGCAGTGTCTAATATATTCCATATTATGGTTAGCTCTATTGAAATGTTTAGAAACTGAAAAAAAGGGCTTGTTATATTATTGATGTTGCACTCAATTCAAGCTTAACATATATTGTTTTATGGCATTTAAAAAAAAAATTCAATAGCCATTAACGTATGTTTGAAAGTGAGTTGAGATAAAACATCACCGAAGCTGCCGAAATACGTTACATAAAACTATCTGCAAATCACTGTGCGCAGTGTTTCTTTCAGAAATTTACCCGGGGAGGGGGGGGGGCACTTCAGATTTTTCTCGGTTCCAGTTGATTTATTGTTAGACATATTTTACTTGGGGGGGGCCCCTTGGCTTCCCCCCCCCACCCCCGAGCTATAGCTGAAGGAAACCCTGACTGTGCATACATGAAACCGATACACTTTAATGCACAAACTGAACTCAATGATAAATACGCAAAATGAGCGCAAGACGATAGCCATCAAGTATACAAAACACGCGGACTCGTTTCACACGCGATCTGCTGTGCACTGGTGCACTTACGACATGGCCAGAATGTCACTGGTGCACTTAAAACATGGTCAGAATGTCACTGGTGCACTAACAACATGGTCAGAATGTTACTTATACACTTACAACATCGTCATAATGTCACTGATGTACTTACAACATCGTCAGAATGTCACTGATACACTTGCAACATGGTCAGAATGTCACTTTTGCACTTACAACATGGTCAGAATGTCACTGTTGCACTTACGACATCGTCAGAATGTCACTGATACACTTACAACATCTTCAGAATGTTACTGATTACTTACAACATCGTCAGAATGTCACTGATGCACTTACAACATCGTCAGAATGACACTGATGTACTTACAACATCGTCAGAATGTCACTGATACACTTACAACATGGTGAGAATGTCACTTTTGCACTTACAACATGGTCAGAATGTCACTGATGCACTTACAACATCGTCAGAATGTCACTGATGCACTTACACCATGGTCAGGATGTCACTTATGCACTAACAACATCGTCAAAATGTCACTTATACTCTTACAACATCGTCAGAATGTGACTGATACACTTACAACATGGTCAGAATGTCACTGATACACTTACAACATGGTCAGAATGTCACTGATACACTTACAACATGGTCAGAATTTCACTGATACACTTACAACATCGTCAGAATGTCACTGATGCACTTACAACATGGTCAGGATGTCACTGATGCATTTACAACATGGTCAGAATTTCACTGATACACTTACAACATCGTCAGAATGTCACTGATGCACTTACAACATGGTCAGGATGTCACTGATAGCTCATACCACAGTCACAGTCTTTTTCTACCTGGTATATGTGTCACCAGCACAACAGTGTTGTGTGTAGTGTGTAGTGTATCCTTGTCCAAACTATGATCTATTTCATTCATAGAACAATTACATTATAAAAGCGCAGGAAAGTTTAAATGCAGCAACGTCTTAGTTTAAACAACTAAAGCGATGACAGTCATTCATAATAATAAGAGTACCCCATGTTCCGAATGGCCGTAAGAGCGAATGGCGGAACAGGGAGAGCCGAGTTATTTTATAACATAATTAGTGATCAATAAATAAATATAAGCAATTAAGTTGATAGAATAACGTGAATTAAAATAATTCCCAACGCAATGTTACTAAAAAAAAAAAAATGAAAATTGACGTAAGAGGAGAAAAGATGATGCCACAGATCTTAACCTCTTCATAATACTTAAACAACTAGACACTGAATCCGTTTAAAATATTAGATTCAGATCTCTAAGAAGTTAAACATCTAAAATGAATATGTTGGTCAACGTTACTTTGGCAACTGACCTTCCAGAATTTTATATCTTTCTTAGCCTCCAGATAAATGTTACGTTATATCCGTAAATTCTCTCCCCCCCCCCCCCCCCCCCCAATGCCTGTAAAGTTAGAGAGGAGTATTGACAGAGTAGACAGAATGAATATACGTTAAATAAACAAGTGGCTTGAATCAGCTCTCAATCACAGATAGGCATTTCCCTAAATTTGGGAATGTTGGCCGTTTGATTGGTTTGCTTACAACTGAAGAGAACGTCCTGTTGTTTTACAGATACTTCAAGTCTTCTGACACACCTGAAAGACAAGAGCTTCCCGTGGTTTGGCACCAATTACCCAACCAACTGCCCCGACCCTGCCACAAATTTCCACACGTGCTTTAACCCAGGGTGAGAGTAACTGAAAAAAAAGAGAACTTTAGGTAATTTACCACTCAGGAAGGGGGGTGGGCAACCATGGCACTTGTCAGGGGCCCGAGTTAGATTCGGGCTCACCCTTTTTCGAGTTCTATAAATATATGCACATGTTTGAAACACGAAAAGGGCCCGAACTCTGCCAGCTGCCTGGGGCCCAGAATTTCCTAGGTACTAGCCTGGCGCGTGGGAGGGGGGGGTTCTAAACTACCGGGATGGGTGTTAGTGCTCACCCTTTTTCGAGTTCTATAAATATATGCACATGTTTGAAACACTAAAAGGGCCCGAACTCTGCCAGCTGCCTGGGGCCCAGAATTTCCTAGGTACTAGCCTGGCGCGTGGGAGGGGGGGGTTCTAAACTACCGGGATGGGTGTTAGACTGGCGGCGGTGGGGGGCTAGACTGCCGGCGGTGTGGGGCTAGAATACAGGGGCGGGTGGCTAGACTACCGTTGGTGGGGCGGGGGCTAGACCACCGGGGGTTGGGAGCTAGAAAACCGAGGGATGGGGGCTAGACTACCGGGGGGAGGGGATCGGCTAGACTACGGAGGGGAGAGTGGCTAGACTACCGGGGGGGGAGTGGCTGGTCTACTGGGGGAGTGGCTAGACAACCGAGAGGAGTGGCTAGACTGACGTTGTGGGGCTAGATGTGGAAGACTGGACTCACGTCTACGACCCATCTTCCTACGCCCACGGCATTATGCCCTTTTTCGTACAAAGCGATTTGAGCAACTCTTTCCCCTTTTAAAGTCTCGTTGATCTCTCACCAACAGGCACGCCAAGCAAGAATCTATCCTGGAAAGAGCTGGATTTGAAAATGTAGAGAAACTCAGTGTGGAGCTCAAGGTCAAATTTTCAGCGCCCGCAGGTCTGATCTCGTTTTTATCATTCCCAGGATCTGAGCAGCACTGGTCACGTAAATAGCGGACACCACATCCATAGCAACAGTGTTTACACAAAAGCAACATAGGGTCACATAAATAATGCCAGGGAACAAAACAAAACAAAATAAACAACGTTTAAATTCATGTTGTGATATCTCCGTATGTTGGAACGTCAAGTCAGCATTATTTTGTTGTGGTCAGAAAGATAATTAAAACTAGATAACCCTCTGTACATCAAATATAATGCGTCCACTAAAACGAGCACTCATAAGCGGGGACGTCACTTTGGGTAGGACAAGGCTCTGCACTTGCCCCCACCCCCTTCTCCCCCTTTCCTGACTTTGCAGGTTTTATCCAAATCGATATGTACTGTGGCGCCTCCAGTAATAAACAACTAACAAGCCGACCAAGTTTTGGTTTTAGCCCCCGGTCCCCCCACCCACCCCCCCCCGGGCTGAAAAAACCTCTGAAATGACGCCCCTGCTCATAAGGGTTCCAACAAAAAAAAAAATAAATAACATGTCCTCACTTAAGCTGTTAACAAATTTTCATACAAGTTGTGTGTTTTTTTGTTTGTTTTGATAGTGCCTTGCCACTTGATGGATGCTAATTTTTCATTGAAGTCAAGTGTGGTTATGTTATACGGAATAATATGTATGAGACTGCGACCGTGGTGTAATACATTTACAAAAAAAAACAAAAAAAAACAAAGTACAAGAGGACTTTTGGCTGACAGTTTCGTTCTTTTGGCGTTGACTTTTTTTTTTTTTTTTCCTCTCAAGCTTTCAACGTCCCTTGCATTTTTTTTTTCCCAATTGTTTTATGCGAGCCCGTAGACAGTTAAAGAAGTATTCTGTTACAAAAAAAAACAAAACAAAACAAAGTACAAGAGGACTTTTGGCTGACAGTTTCGTTCTTTTGGCGTTGACTTTTTTTTTTTTTCTTCCTCTCAAGCTTTCAACGTCCCTTGCATTCTTTATTTCCCAATTGTTATATGCGAGCCCGTAGACAGTTAAAGAAGATAGCTCTCGTCCAGTGAGAAATGACAACGTGACAACTGGTATTTAAAAAAAGGGCATGTCACAGCCCTCACAAAGTGACAATATGAGCCCAAATAAAGTGACAATAGGAGCCCCCATAAAGTGACAATAGGAGCCCCCAAAAAGTGACAATAAGATCCCCCATAAAGTGCCAAAAGGAGCCCCATAAATTGGCAATATGAGCCCCCATAAAGTGACAAAAGGAGCCCCCATAAGGTGACAATAGTTCCACTACAGGAGGCGATGTTAATTGGTTCTTCTCACCGGTGACGGAAGTCTGTCAGTCTGTGGTATGATGAGCACATGAGACGGCAGGCGCATTGGCCTGGTCATAAGTCAATTGTTTACTAATCTCTTGAGTTGGAGGAATGAATGAATGAATCAATCAAATGAGTGGATGAAACAATGCATTGCTAGTTTCAGAAGGTTTTTTTTTTGTTTTTTTTTTCTTGAATGTTTCGCCCAAAGAACAAGCCGCCGTCTGTGGAAGCTACGACGACCTGAGCCCGGTGGAAGAGTTTGAGCTGAATCCGACCGGCCAACCCCCTGAAGATACCACCAAGGTGAGTGCATAGCGCATGCGTTGCAAGTGATTAATTTGTTTTTTTTATCCCCGATTCTGGCGCGACGCGCTTGGTGTTATCATTTTAGTATGTGTGTTGCAACATGGTCGGCATTACGATTTGTTCTGGCTGGTGCAACTACGTGAATATTTTCATTGTTTACTCGTACAAATGAATTCCAAACATCTCCCCATATTATACTTCATGATTTACATATTTATTTTCTATTTTTTACACCTAGCCCCACCCCCCCCCCCTTTTTCCTTTTTATTTATTTTTTTATTTTTTTATTTTTTTTGTGATACAAATTACTCAACGTACACAACTTGAAATCTCGATGGTAATTAAGAAATATTAAAATGAGAATCAAGCCAAGCGTCAAAAAAGTAAAAGTAATCAACCGAATGGAATTAAATAGAGCCGCAATTTTTCATGTCATGTTTCACAAATCACATGTTTAATACTTGGCCTGGACGAAAGAGATTTCTCATTTTCAAAAGCTTATTCGTGATGTCATAGTGCTCATAAGTGGACACACCATTGAAAGCAGTAGTGTAAACATTCAAATCAATTAAAGAATAATACATTTTTTTATAAAGTATAAAGGTATGTTGCCGAAACAGTTTAGCCCCCCCCCCGACCCCCACCGACCCCCACCGACCCCCACAATAAGACCAACAGCAAAAAAAAAATAAAAAAATAAACAACACTGCTAAATTGACTGCTTAGCAATGGTAACGAGACAGAAACGTTTAAAAAGTGACCCAAAAACTAAAAGTATCGTTTAAAACTGTTGACGTCGCAAAGAGTCATTCAACTTTTTGATCACAGCTCATTGCTGAGAATTACAGGCGACTACCGGACGTCTCCTGGGCAACCAAGTCGTCAACTCTGCACACCCTGATCTTCTTTGACGTTGGCTTCTACAGGATCCGGGGATGGTTCTTCAACATCTCCAGCAGTAATACAGAACTAAAAGGATGGGTAAGATTCATAGACTTGTACGGTAAGATTCATAGACTTGTACGGTAAGATTCATAGACTTGTACGGTAAGATTCATAGACTTGTAAGGTAAGATTCATAGACTTGTACGGTAAGATTCATAGACTTGTACGGTAAGATTCATAGACTTGTACGGTAAGATTCATAGACTTGTACGGTAAGATTCGAAGACTTTAATGGTAAGATTCATAGACTCGAGTGATGAGATTCATAGACTTGTACGGTAAGATTCGAAGACTTTAATGGTAAGATTCATAGACTCGAGTGATGAGATTCATAGACTTGTATAGTAATAATCATAGACTTGTGTGATGAGATAAATAGACTTTAACGGTAAGATTCATAGACTTGTCTGGTAAGATTCATAGACTTGTATGGTAAGATTCATAGACTTGTACGGTAAGATTCATAGACTTGTATGGTAAGATTCATAGACTTGTATGGTAAGATTCATAGACTTGTACGGTAAGATTCATAGACTGGTACGATAAGATTCATAGACTTGTACAGTAAGATTCATAGACTTGTACGGTAAGATTCATAGACTTGTGTGATGAGATCAATAGAGGGGTATGGTAAGATTCATTGACTTTTATGGTAAGAATCATAGACTCGAATGGTAAGATTCATGGACTTGTGTGATGAGATTGATAGACTTGTATGGTAAGATTCAAAGACTTGTATGATAAGATTCATAGACTTGTGTGATGAGATTCATTGACTTTTATGGTAAGAATCGTAGACTCGAATGGTAATATCCATGGACTTGTATAGTAAGTTGTGGTGAGTTTCATATACTTTTCTGGTTAGTTTCCACAGACTTCTCAAACGGTAAGATTCATAGACCTATATCGAAAGATTCATAAACTCATGGAAAGATTCATTTACATATATGGTAAGATGCAATGACTTAGTGGAAATATTCATAGATTCTCATGAAAAGCTGTCGCGTGGTCCAAGGCCCCAGGTTGGTCTCAGATGATAATGGGGGAGAAGAAAGTTGTGATAAGAAAAAACAAACTATCATCTTTGAATACAGAAGAGAGGCGTAGCTGTGATATTTTGATCCAGGGGACGATCTATAGGGTTGGCGCCCCCTTCCCTTCTCCCTGTGTTATTCCAAATATCCTATGACACTGAATAAGGAACACAATTTAAATTTTAATAAAACGTAATTGAAAAAGAAGCAAATTTATAGAAATGATAGTACATGACCCACTCGGTCATGGTCGTTTACATTGGTTTACGTGGTCAACAAAAGATTTTTTTTTTTTTTTTTTTTTGTTTTCACTGTCTCAAACTGGTCAGTGGCACGATCGAAATCTGTTTTTCTCCAATGTTTCTCTTTGACCGCTAAGAAGAGCAAGATTTCTGAGTTTTACATTTGTTTAAGTGGTAAAAAAAAAATTTTTTTTTTTTTTTTTTTGATTTCACTGTCTCAAACTGGTCAGTGGCACGATCGAAATCTGTTTTTCTCCAATGTTTCTCTTTGACCGCTAAGAAGAGCAAGATTGCTGAGACGTTCCTAACCCAATGACGCAATCAAATGTGACAAATTAGGTAGGCTGTCAGATGACACGTCTGCTGAGGCTGTCAGACGATACGTCGGCTGAGGCTGTCAGACGACACGTCTGCTGAGGCTGTCAGACGACACGTCAGCTGAGGCTGTCAGATGACACTCTGCTGAGGCTATCAGATGACACTCTGCTGAGGCTATCAGATGACACTCTGCTGAGGCTATCAGACGACACTCTGCTGAGGCTATCAGATTGCACGTCTGCTGAGGCTATCAGACGACACGTCTGCTGAGGCTGTCAGACGACACGTCAGCTGAGGCTATCAGATGACACTCTGCTGAGGCTTTCAGATGACACGTGTGCTGAGGCTTTCAGATGACATGTCTGCTGAGGCTTTCAGATGACACGTCTGCTGAGGCTGTCAGATGAAACGTCTGCTGAGGCTTTCAGATGGTACGTCTGCTGAGGCTTTCAGATGGTACGTCTGATGAGGCTATCAGATGACACGTGTGCTGAGGCTTTCAGATGACACGTCTGCTGAGGCTTTCAGATGACACGTCTGCTGAGCCGCTGCACCGATCTTGTGACCGATCTATTACCCTTGTTTATCTATTATAATGTAACGTCGTAAGCCTCATTTTCGCGCCCGGGACATATGTACCCCCGCCCCCCACTCTTTACGCTTCTGTTGCAAGAGACACAAAACCGAAAAGAGGTAGGTAGCCTCAGCAAAGTCACGTGACGGCATTGCTTAAATGCTAAGATACCTTGACTAATATAGAAAGATACATAGACTAATTGGGAAAGATGCAGGGACATGAGGACAGATTCATTTGCCCACCGAGTTGCCCAAATATGACCCATGACTTCGGATAAAGGTGTCTCTTTTAATGACGGATGACTGCGGCTAACACTGTCACTCGGTATGGCTCATGACTGCGGCTAAAGGCGTCACTCATTTTGATTCGTGACTGCGGCTTACAAGGTCACTCGTTATGACTCCTGACTGCGGCTTACAAGGTCACTCGTTATGACTCCTGACTGCGGCTAACGACCTATTTGGGATGTTTGTTTGTTTCAGACGAGCGTCCCGTACTATCCTCCTGCCAACCCTACAACCAACACCAACCCCACGCTGATCCTCCTCTTGGAACAGTCTGAAACCAAAGAGTCGCAGAGCGACGAGATCATGCACGCATGTGTCGAGACGTACTACAACAGCGCCGCACCGGAGTCTTGCCGCGAGCAAATCAAGACGATCCTGAGCAATGGATACAGTGAGTGCAAGAAGGTCACAATGCCACAGTGACCCGTGTGACCCCTGTTGGTGTTTGTATGACGTCTGTCTTGTATTTGTATGTCTGTCTGTCTTGTATTTGTATGACGTCTTTCTTGTGTGTGTATGACGTCTTTCGTGTGTTTGTATGACGTCTGTCTTGTGTGTTTGTATGAGTCTGTCTTGTGTTTGTAGGACGCCTGTCTTGTGTTTGTATGACGTCTGTACTGTGTTTGTATGAGTTCAGTTTTCTGTTTCTATGTCTGTTTTATGTTGTGTGAATTGAATCATCACTCTTGGATTTATGTCTGCTGTCAGTTTTTTAAATACACTTTTTCTTAGGTTACTCTGTCAGTTTGTTAATCTGTTTGTCAATCAGTTTGTGTGAAGTCAAATCTTGTAGCGCAGCCCTAACCCACTTCCTCATCTCAGACTGGGCTGACACTTTGTGCACTTACCCACACTCCCATGACACTACAGCCCTTCGTGATTGAGCAGGTCACCAGTGGCATCCACTGACACTTGAGTGACCTCTGCCGGTCTAATCTTGCATCTCACACATGAAAAACTTTATGGTCTCCAAATGAGCTGAAACTTTGAAACGTACCCCCCCCCCACCCCAACAATAAAACAATCCTTCATGATCACTAGGGCAAATAAGTATATGTATATCAATTAACAGTATGCACAGAAGGTAACGCCACTGAAACTACCACACTCTTAAACGCGCATAGCTTAAACGTCCACGTATCCATATAATAGAAAAGGAAGAGATTTTGTGCAGCTGAGGTTGGAAATATGTCTCTCAGCGGAGGAAAAAAAACATTTACACTTGACCATTTGGTTTCACATTTAAGTAATTGGTCGTGAATGGGAACCTAGTGGGGAAAAAGCGGAAGAGCAATGTCGAGTGATGTTTAATAGGATGGCGTCATGTAACACGGCTGTATGTTGACTGTTACGACATTTCGCCGAGCTAGACGTGTACTGGGTTTAAACTTTTAGATGAAATCTGGTCGGCCAGAAACTGTTTCGTTAGAAAAATCACGCACTTGTTCTTAAGACGTCACTTCATTCGACCCTACAGAGTCTGAGACGAAGATCTTTGAAAGTGAACCTAAGCCATGCGGACGTTTGCCGATTGTTTAGTGACATGGGCGAATTTTCGTACAAAATACATATTGGACAAGGCTTGGCGGAGCCAAGTATGCCGGACAAGGCTTGGTGGAGGCATGTACGCTGAACAAGGCTTGGTGGAGCCAGGTACGCAGGACAAGGCTTGGTGGAGCCAGGTACGCTGGACAAGGCTTGGTAAGCCAGGTTCGCCGGACAAGGCTTGGTGGAGCCAGGTACGCTGGACAAGGCTTGGTGGAGCCAGGTACGCAGGACAAGGCTTGGCGGAGCCACGTATGCCGGACAAGGCTTGGTGGAGCCAGGTACGCTGGACAAGGCTTGGTGAGCCAGGTTCGCAAGACAAGGCTTGGTGAGCCAGGTTCGCCGGACAAGGCTGGCTGATTCAGGTGTTCCGGGACGAGGTTTGACGGAGCCAGGTATGCCGGACAAGGCTTGGTGGAGCCAGGTACGCTGGACAAGGCTTGGTGAGCCAGGTTCGCCAGACAAGGCTGGCTGATTCAGGTGTTCCGGGACGAGGTTTGACGGAGCCAGGTATGCTGGACAAGATGATGAATTGTGGAACATTTTGCCGATGCTGTGCAAGGACACATAGGAATTTGATGTGTCCTACAAAAGTCACATGCTTGTTTTCGTCTACCAGACTTTCCCTTCCGTTGACGGGGTAATTGACACAACGTAGACACAGCTTTCTTTTATTACTAGGAGCATGCGAGCTACTGGAGCTATGCTGCGTTGACAAAACGCGTACAAGATGCGGGAGTTTCATTACTGCTAGTTTTAGCGCATACTCTCCCTGAATCAATATATATATATATATATATATATATAAAGCTAAGCCTGCAATGTGTCTACCACTAGTTACCAAATTTTAGCCTCAGGAACTACATTGTGTGACTACCATCAACTCACCACTTTTACATACAAGGCTAACCATGGGTGAGTTTACCATAATCTCACCAGATTTAAACTAGAGTCTTCCCGGGGTGGGCCGGGGGGGGGGGGGTGGGGAATTCAACACACCAGACGTAGTTTACGGACTTAAGACTTACCTTATTACCGTGTCTACCTATATGACACCCAGTTTTTTTTTTTTATAACAAAGGTTACACGGGGAGTATCATTTCCCAAGACTTGAGAACCGGTGTTTTATTCTACAGCTCTCGTCGGTGCCCAAGTTTTTTACACTACGGGGGGAACGAGATTTGAGAAGTTTAGAGCCTGCACAGAAAGCTTTGTTTGTCCCGAAGAGTGCGTGAGTACGATCAGAGCAGGTGAGACTTTCCAAGAATTTTAGCGTCAAGAAAAAATTAACTTACAGAAAATAATGGAAAAGAGAATGCCAAAATCTCTTCACCCAGCTGTACTCCTCCTGCCATCCATCGCATCTAGCTTTAATTGATATTCGCATTTACTGGGGGCAGGGGGGAGGGAATGGGGTGAAATGGGCGCTGGGGGGGGGGGGTTAGGGGTTACAGATTACATTTGTTGAAGTAATCAGTTGTTATTTGTCAATGAAACAGGTAATAGGTAATTTCCTGGGAATCAAGGTAAAAACTATGAACAATAAAAAAAACTTAACTTAAGTTAATTATGTCTCGGCAAAGGCGAATGTGTTGCAGCTGCGATGAATGCATTCATTCTGTGAATCATGCGTGACGTGTACTGATTTGAACTCCAGAAGTATATCACATTTCACTTATCTCTGTACCACACACATAAGCACGGCTGGGTGACTGGTTGTTTACAACTCATTGACTGGTAGGTTACGGCTGGTTGACTGATAAGTTACAACTCATTGACTGGTACGTTACAACTCATTGTCTGGTAGGTTACAACTCATTGACTGGTAGGTTACAACTCTTTTACCTTTTTCTTGATTAATTTAACAGAAATGTAAAAATTCAACTTTTTATTTTTTACGTCGGTTCAACCGTCACTCTTGACGCTCGCGGCATAATAGGGTTGTTGTTTCCCGCTCAATACCAACATTATAAACATGTTTAGTAGGGGGGGGGGGAGCCGGTTGGGAAATGGACCGAGCCACAACCGACGCGGAATATACCTATATGAGATGCTTTTGAGAGACAATTATTGATTTCATTAACTGCTATTTTTTATTTATTTATTTAGGCATTTTTATATAGCGCTTACCTTAAAGCTCAAAGCGCTTTACAATTATTAAAAACATGTAAACTAAGTTAAATAAAAATAAGACACTAGGATAGTAACTACTATACTATAGATAGAAATAATTAAAATGGCTATAAAACGAGGGCACGATTTGGCCTATACTACAGGATCAACCCGAGACAGAAAATGAGGTAGGGCAAGGAGGGTGCATCACAGGTCATAGGCGGACCTAAAAAGATGGGTTTTAAGGGACTTTTTGAAAGTGGACGAGGTTTCACAATGGCGGATATGGAAGGGGAGCTGGTTCCAGAACGTGGGCCCATGGAAGCAGAAGGAGCGTTCACCGATGGTCTTAGTTTTAGTTCTTGGGATTGAGAGGGTTCTACTGTCAATGGAAGAACGTAGTTGTCTTGTCTTGTGGGGATGTAAGGAAGCAACAGTTCAGAGAGATAGACAGGAAAGTGAGGGTCAGTGAACGAGTTGAAGCATAGATTGGCAGACTTGTACTTGATGCGAGAGGATATTGGAAGCCAGTGGAGTTACCGCATGTGTGGTTGAATGTGTTCGTGTTTCTTTGATTTAAAAATGAGTCTGCATGCTGAGTTCTGTGGCTTCTGAAGTTTGTCTATGTGGTGTTGAAGAATGCCTGCGAGAAGAGTGTTACAGTAGTCAAATTTTGAAAGAAAGAGTGAAGAGACGAGAGTTTTTGTGGCATCAAAGGAGGGGAGGTGTCTAATGGTGCTGATTTTTTCTAATTTCGTTAAATGCTGATCTACATACATTCGTGACATGTTTGTTCATGGAGAGGGTGTCTGTAAGCGTGACTCCAAGATTTCTGGCAGAGGAAGAGAGTGTAATGTCAGAGTTGCCAATAGATATAGAAGAAGGAGCGGATGGAGGGAGAGGTTTGTTTTGAGAGTGGATGAGAAGGATTTCCGTTTTATCATCATTTAGCTTCAGTTTGTTGCAAGTAACAATGCTCCCCCTCGTAAATTGTGTGTTGAAGGGCCACATCATTTTAAGCTTTCAATGTATGGGCATGGGCACTTGATCCCGGGCAGTTGCCGAGGCTTGACGTGGGGCAAAAACGAGAAAGGTGTGACACACTGGTATACTGGTTACCTTCTGTTGGTTTGGTGTTCGATAACGTATTAATAATAATTGGATGATTGTCATTTTCTTTTTATTAATCTGCCTTAAAACTAACGTGAATGCTTTTTTTTTTGGGGGGGGGGGGGACGGGGGGGGGGGGGGGGGAGGAACTGATAAGCTAGAATGACAAGAAGAATGAATTATTTAAAAAAGAAGACTTTTATAATTGATCCATTTAGAAGTAGATTAGTCAGAGAAACATGGAGAGAAAAAATTCCACGACTTCCCGAAGTAGAATTATATAGTTTCAATAGCTTCCTAGTCCACGAATTTCTTTAAAGTATCATTGGAAATAATTGTTTATTGACGAAGACTGGCTCAGACAAATGAAAACACTTCCGTATTTCCTTAGCCTCAGGGACGATTACGTCAAAGTTCGCAGATTTGACGGATATGGAACAAGATAATTTCAAGTTTTATGTCAACTTCCGATTCACTGGTTTATTGAATAAAAATATCAAGTTGAAATGCTGTCCTGATCCCCAGCCTCTGGCGTAAGTACATCAAATTATTCTCATTAGTATAATTCTTCTTTATTCTCAATCGATTTATGCTTCATTTATTCTCAGTAGATTTATCAATCTATGTAAGCACTAAATTTATATTGCTTTTGTGTGTGTTCTTTATCGAATTTTAGCGTGACATTACCCAGATTTAATAAATAAATAAATAAATAAATATATATACAAGTTTATAGCTTGCCAAACATTGGTGACAGCAATGCATGAACTTCCATCTACTGCAGTTTCTTGACACAGCATGAACTCACATTTAAGAATCCCAATTTTCGCTACACCCTTCCCCCCATGATACGCCACAGCACACTTTTTTATTTCACGCCCTAGATCTGCATTAATATTCTGATGCCCCAACCACTTTTAAACTAAGTATTAATTTTCACCATTTTTAAATTGAGACGATTTCATTTTCCGAAAATAAAATATTCCGCACCAAACGCATTGGGGTTATTGTAAATTTTAAAAAATCACTTAGCGCACCGGTAGTTATCGGGATATATATTTATTTTTTGATTGCTGTCCGGAAGCAATGCTATTTCCCATAGCCAAATACACGTTACAAAATGCAAAGCATATAGCAAAAGCTACGAAAATAATCTCAGACCAAATTCACTGAAAAGGAAGCAGCCAGTTGCAGCCGGAAATGGAAGCAATCCACCAGAAGCGTAATATATATATGATATCCTTTCTAATTAGTAATCTTTTCGTGTGTATATATTTATGTATACACATTTATTACTAATTACAAAGCAAATATAAATAAACTGAGTGTACCACCGGGTACCTGATCCACTAGAACTCTATAGAGATGACTGCACATTTTCAAATTGAATGTATTTAAAGTTATTTATTTCTTTAATTTACATCTGGAAGATTTGCGTATATTACGAGTGAAGTGGCGATCATCGGTAAGCCTATATCGTTTGAAGTTTTAAATTAACGCAATAACAGCATTAGTCAAAATCGCTCTTCGTCTCTGAGCCACTATGATCCTCTAGCACATTGTCTTTGAGCCACTATGATCCTCTAGCACATTGTCTTTGAGCCACTATGATCCTCTAGCACATTGTGTCTGAGCCACTATGATCCCCTAGCACATTGTCTTTGAGCCACTATGATCCTCTAGCACATTCTCTTTGAGCCAGTATGATACTCTAGCACATTGTCTTTGAGCCACTATGATCCTCTAGCACATTGTCATTGAGCCACTATGATCCTCTAGCACATTGTCTTTGAGCCACTATGATCCTCTAGCACATTGTCTTTGAGCCACTATGATCCTCTAGCACATTGTCATTGAGCCACTATGATCCTCTAGCACATTGTCTCTGAGCCACTATGATCCTCTAGCACATTGTCTTTGAGCCACTATGATCCTCTAGCACATTCTCTTTGAGCCAGTATGATACTCTAGCACATTGTCTTTGAGCCACTATGATCCTCTAGCACATTGTCATTGAGCCACTAAGATCCTCTAGCACATTGTCTTTGAGCCACTATGATCCTCTAGCACATTGTCATTGAGCCACTATGATCCTCTAGCACATTGTCTTTGAGCCACTATGATCCTCTAGCACATTGTCATTGAGCCACTATGATCCTCTAGCACATTGTCTTTGAGTCCCTATGATCCTCTAGCACATTGTCTGTGAGCCACTATGATCCTCTAGCACATTGTCTTTGAGCCCCTATGATCCTCTAGCACATTGTCTTTGCAGGGCCTCATCTTTATTCCGAGCTCTGTTGTTGCATTATAAGTCGGATGACACAATGAAATCGGACATGCAATTTTATTTCAAATGTCTTCGCATTTCTGCCGAAGCGCCGAGAAACAAATCATTTTTAATACGGTTGATTTCTTCCTAGCCCGGCTTCGGCGGTTCTCCAATCAAGACGGTACAATTTACATGATCGAATATTGGGAGATGTCATTGCAGAAGCACTTGCTAACTTTATTAGATATTCAGACTTCAATATAAATAAATGCATAATACTTCACTGGCTGATATGGCTTGTAGGTTACACCATGACTCTATTTCAAACTGACGAGCTTAGAGAAGCGCAGTGAAGACCAGTCAAAGATTATCCTTCGTCATTTTGATTATTCTGTAAAGGAATTAAAAACCACGGCAGGCTAAATAGTCCACACACGAACCTTGCCCGTGTATTGAAGTCATGGGAGCTTGCAGCATCGGATATTTCTTCACAAAGAGAAACCGATGCAGTCATGTCACTACATCACCTACCATGTTTCTTAATCATCCAACCGGTGACATCATCGCCTACCACGTCAATACCTACCACCATGTCACTACATACTCCACAATGTAATTACATCACCCAACATGTCACCACGTGTGACCACATCAACGAACTCGTCACCACATCACCCACCAGTGAACCACATCACCGAACACGTAATCACCTCACCTGCTATGTAACCACATCACCTGCTATGTAACCACATCACCTGCCATGTAACCACATCACCTGTCATGTAACCACATTACCTGCCATGTAACCACATCACCTGCCATGTAACCGCATCATTCACCAATAAGATAAGAATTATTACAAAAAAATGTGCAAAATAAATTCCATTATAAATAAATATTCTACCCAAGAAAAAAACTTTTGAGAACAATCTCAAAAAGGATATCTTAAGCCTTAAGTATATCTCCAACGAAATGAAAGCATCTATTATTTACCAGAGAACTGAAATCCATTGATGACAATAATGACTTATTTAGTGACCATTTAGATTTTATATCTGCTGGTGCAGCACGCTGGTAAAATATGATAGACCGGAAAACAATGGAATTCTTATCTATTTCTGTCCTTACTTTAAGGGGAAAGGATTCGCTCTGATCCAGCTGATCTTAGTTATCTGCCATGAAGAGATCTAAATTGCCAATTGTGCGGGTAGGCCGACGAAATGGTGGACCGCAGAATTTGGCCGTGTTTATGACATGTTATTAATGGTGACACCTGAGTAATTTAACGTCTCCATTTGTTCTATACTTTGATTATTTATTGTGAGGTCTGCATTTGGAGGGATTCCCTCTCGAAATTCGGCAGCCATTTCATTCATTATAGAGACAAGCAACCGAAAAAGATCTGCATTGAACCAAATGACAAGACTTGTAACTATTTTGCGATACAGGCTTTTCTCCTTTTTTTATAAAGCAGTTTTATTTTACTCAATTTTGTCAACAGAAAATTCGAGTTCCGTCCCGTGGTTGGAGAAAAACCGTACGTTGAAAACGTTGGTCACGTGTACCCAGAGCTCACAGGAGCCAGGATGTGGCTCGAAATTGGAGGCACTGAAACCGCGTTCACAGGTAGCACTAGTATACAATAAGAGTAATTAGGGTAGGCCATAGGCACCATGATAAGCGATTATTAAAAGGTATTCAAAGAGGAAAACAAGATGGCACCACAATTAGTAACTAAATTTATGGCCAGTAATTAGGCTTTGAATTTATAGTTAGCATCATGGTTTGTAATACTTAGAGAGAATGCAAAATGACAGAGGAACGAAGAGGGGTGCAAGACCCATACCCCAGAGGAAAAAGGCTCAAAGGCAGACCTAGGCTTAGATGGATGGTTGATATGGAAAAAGATCTACAACAACTAAAAATCCAAGGAGGGAAAAAAAGAGCCTTAGTTAATTCTGTGTGGAAGGAAGTAGTGAGGCAGGCCAAAGCCCCCCCCCATGGGCTATTGCGCCACAGGGATGGATGGATGGATTATGGTTTGTAACAGTCGTTAGGATTAGAGTTTGTAACAGTCGTTAAGATTAGGGTTTGTAACGATCGATAGGATTAGAATTTGTAACAATCATTAGGATTAGGGTTTGTAACAATCGTTAAGATTAGAGTTTGTAACAATCGTTAGGATTAGAGTTTGTAACGATCGTTAGGATTAGGGTTTGTAAAAGTCGTTGGGATTAGAGTTTGTAACGATTTATAGGATTAGGGTTTGTAACAATCGTTAGGATTAGGTCTTGTAACAATCATTAGGATTAGGTCTTGTAACGATCGTTAGGATTAAGGTTTGTAATAATCGTTAGGATTAGTTTTTGTAACAGTCGTTAGGATTAGAGTTTGTAACAATCATTATGATTAGGGTTTGTAACAATCGTTATGATTAGGGTTTGAAACATTCGTTAGGATTGGAGTTTGTAACGATCGTTAGGATTAGAGTTTGTAACAATCGTTAGGATTAGGGTTTGTAACATTCGTTAGGATTAGAGTTTGTAACAGTCGTTAGGATTGGAGTTTGTAACGATCGTTAGGATTAGGTTTTGTAACGATCTTTAGGATTAGGGTTTGTAACAGTCGTTGGGATTAGAGTTTGTAACGATCTTTAGGATTAGGGTTTGTAACAATCGTTAGGATTAGGTCTTGTAACAATCATTAGGATTAGGTCTTGTAACGATCTTTAGGATTAGGGTTTGTAACAATCGTTAGGATTAGAGTTTGCAACAGTCGTTAGCATTAGAGTTTGTAACAGTCGTTAGGGTTTGGGTTTCTAACCATTCGCAGGATTAGAGTTTGAAACAATCGTTAGGATTAGAGTTTGAAACAGTCGTTAGGATTAGAGTTTGTAACAGTCTTTAGGATTAGGGTTTGTAACAATCATTAGGATTAGGGTTTGTAACAATCATTATGATTAGGGTTTGTAACAATTGTTAGGATTAGGGTTTGTAACAATCGTTAGGATTAGCGTTTGTAACAATCATTAGGATTAGGGTTTATTAACAATTGTTAGGATTAGGGTTTATTAACAATTGTTAGGATTAGGGTTTGTAACAGTCGTTATGATTAGGGTTTGTAACAATCATTAGGATTAGCGTTTATGACAATCATTAGGATTAGGGTTTGTAACAATTGTTAGGATTGGGGTTTGTAACAATCGTTAGGATTAGAGTTGGTAACAATCGTTAAGATTAGAGTTTGTAACAATCGTTAGGATTAGAAAACAGATATAATGTCTTGCCTTGTGCAGACTTCCTCTAGCATTAACGCAATAGCAGATGAGATCGGAACAAGTATTTAAAGGGCATTGCTTTTTTTTTCCCCGCAGATGCAGAGACTTACTACTCTGTTGGGATTGTTGATCCCATGGGAAGCTCAAGTATCAATAACCCTTGGGGTCATTACTTTATATCCAACTTCAAATACCCAGGTAGGTATCAGCAACAGCAGGCCAAAGACGTTGTTGATAGTGTTGACCTAGGGTGAGCTGCAATGAAACGGTACGTTAGATGTATTTACTTATCTTCAGGTCTCATTAGATCTAGGAGACAAAAGAAAAAAAGTTGATATTTATAAAAATGAAGGTATAATCCTTTTGCTACCTTCTAGTTTCTTTCAATCATCTCTCCGGGAGGGCAGTGTCCCCCCCCCCCCCCAACGGTTGTACAACAATAAAAAGAAAGTATTTAAAAAAACAACAACTAACAAATTGTTATTGTTTATGAACATTTTAAAAAGAATAATAACTGGTGCATTTAACCGATTACAATTAGTGGAGCCAAAGAAATATCGCTATGCTCAATATATTTGCTGTTAAGGTTAATCTTGCTAGAGGCTTACAATATTCGAATACAAGTTTCAAATTGGCCACACCTGATTATCGGGCCAAATCTTACATCTTGTTGTTCGCATATATCGGTATTTTTATTTATTTATTTTTTGCAACTTCACAAGTTTAGAGACTTAAGTAATAAGTGTATGAAAGAAACTGTCTTTTCATCAATATAAAGGTCTATGATTTTAATATAATTCTTTCCAAGTATCAAACATGTGCAATCTGCTCTCCAATTATATGTCATCATAAGAGCATGATCTTGAAATTAGTGATTTAAAGCTACTTATAAAGTGTATGATGACATCACGCTTAAAAAAATATACTTATGAGCATAGTTTGTAATGTGGGTTGACCTAGGTAAAATAAAACGTAAAAAAAAAATGATTAAAAAAAAAAAGTTAAGTACGGTATTTAACGCTAGCGTTCAAATAGTCTATGTTTCAACAATCATAATTAAAACGAAAGCGTTCGCATGCTCTCTAGGCGCACTCCATTTGTATCACAGTTTCCTGTATAAGAGAGGTTAAAGAGGAAACATTAATTAGATTTATCAAATTTCCTACCTCTTCTCTCTTTTTAATATGAGAATAATAAACGATCTCCCCAACCTATCTGAACGCATTTTTAAAACATTTATTGGTTAAAATGATAAAACAGCAGACAGCTAAAAAACAAACAACAAAAAACCCCCCCCACTATTTTGCAACTAGTTTTAGTAAAAAAAGTATTTTTAAATGGTCACTTTACACTAAATTTAATAGATTTGTTTGAAAAGCTGTGTTAAAGAATTTCAAAGAGGCAATTTAAAATGTATCAGAAGAAATGCATATTTCTTTGAAATTCCAAACATACATGATAATCAAATAAATTTTCGGAAACGTAAATATTTTTTGTACGTTTTCCCACGGATAAATTCACACATTAATAATTAATGTTTTTTTTGTAAACAGCTCATGTCTTCTTTATATAATTACGCATTTCATATACGATTTATAAAAATAAACAGTTTTGAAAATATCTTAAAATGTATCGACCTTACTAAAAGACATATTTTTTTCTCTTTTTGACCCACATAAAACTTGGAAAATGTATTTATTATATATATTTTTTCCATGGCGTTCTACATTTAAAATAATGTTGGTAGTGCTTAATTCGTACTCCAAAAGATGAAAGATAAAACCACAGAGCAATTTAGTAATCTATATATATATATATATATATATATATATATATATATATATATATATATATATATATATATTACATAACCGCGCCCAACAGAGAAGACGCTTGTCTTTTAGAGACTCTCTCCCCCTCTCCCCCCCCCCCCCACCACTGCATAACCGGGCCCATCAGAGAAGTCGCTTGACTTTTCGAGACCCTCTGCCACTTTCCCCCCCCCCCTCCACTACTTTACCTTCAAATTTGATCATTCAAAAAGTGTCAACAGCACAACTTTAAGTCCCTAAAATATCGGAGGCCCCTTGCAGCCGCAGGGGTTCAGGGCCCACACGATGGCTCTGAGGTCAAATGAAACCTACATTTTTAACGAGCATGCCTTCCATTGATCTCCGAATACTTGTACAATGATGCAAAACTAATTTATACATCTTAAAATCCATTCTTGCATTTTATATTTATCAAAAATTCTCTGGGACTTTCAAAGATTTAAGGGGGTAACACTTAGCTCGTCTAAAAAGTATACCACAAAGGGCATCAGCTGGAATGAATTTAGCTCATGTTGGACTGGGGCGGCGTTAGAGATGTTCCTGATCTTTATTATGGCTACTTCTGGCACTCCCCAGCAGAAGTTCAAAATGGCCTCTTCCAAATTGCCTGAAAAGAAAAATCAAATTCAATTTTGTGCCAAAGTTCATCCCTGCATTTTAAATTAATCAGTTTTTCTATGGGGACCCCTGTTTATGTGAGAGTTTTCAGCACCAGCAATTTCTACTCACCCGTTCCCTCATGCCAATCAAAATGACAGTACGGGGTTAATCCAGGCTTGTGCAAAGTGATTACTTTGGTGAGTGCGACAACTGGAGGGAATTCAGTTTATGCATGGTACTGGGCGCAATAATGCCTCCTCCAATCAAATAGTGTAATAGAAACAATGAATTCAGGTATTCTCCAAAATTCACCTCTTGTTTTAAAATAATCTATATTTCTTGGGGCAGTGATTCCCAGACCCTGGACCCCCTCTCTACCCCCCCCCCCCCAACCGTTTTTCTCGCTCAAAAGTAATCACTTTATGCCCTACTTCCCGATTAAGATGACAGTACAGCAGACCCTTCTTCCGCTCAAGAGCAATTGATGCCCTTAATTGTTGACATAATTCCCGATAAATATTATTGACACTCTGGTGTCTAATGGCGTACCTAGTATTAGTGCCGCTATCGGCGGACCAAGACTTTTGTATCTTTCGCGATAAGAACTCAGGAGTTGTCCACACAATGACACTCCTCCATTGTAGTGCCATCGCAAGTCTGGTGCCCGGGGACATCTATCTTCTCTGCCTTCCCTAGCTACGCCTCTGGCAACTGTCATCCTCCCTGAAAATCCAAAATGACCTCCCTCCCCCAGAGGAAAATATCTGAAAAAAAACACTAATTGGGACTGACCCTAAAAAAACACTAATTGGGACTGACCCTAAAAAAAACAAAAAGGAGGGGAGGGGAATTAAAGGGAGAATCAGTAGGTTGCAAGTTTAAATTTACATAGTGGGGAGGAGGGGAGTGGTACGGGGGGAGTGGTATGAGGGGAGGGGAGTCGTACTGTGGGTAGGAAAGAGTTTCATGATGTGTTAAAGTGGTACTTCTGGTGTGAAAGTGTTTCTTGGGGTGTGAAAGTGTTACTTGGTGTGTGAAAGTGTTACTTGGTTATGAAAGTGTTACTTGTGGTATGAAAGTGTTACTTGGTGTGTGAAAGTGTTACTTGGTGTGTGAAAGTGTTACTTGGTGTGTGAAAGTGTTACTTGGTGTGTGAAAATGTTACTTGGTGTGTGAAAGTCTTACTTGGTGTGTGAAAGTCTTACTTGGTGTGTGAAAGTATTACTTGGTGTGTGAAAGTGTAACTTGGTGTGTGAAAGTGTTACTTGGTGTGTGAAAGTGTTACTTGGTGTGTGAAAGTGTTACTTGGTGTGTGAAAGTGTTACTTGGGGTAGAAACGTGTTACATGGTGTGTGAAAGTTTTACTTGGTGTGTTAAATTCTTACTTGGTTATGAAAGTGTTACTTGGTGTGTTAAAGTGTTACTTGGTTATGAAAGTGTTACTTTGTGTGTGAAAGTGTTACTTGGCGTGTTAAAATGTTACTTTGTTATGAAAGTTTTACTTGGTGTGTAAAGGTGTTACTTGATGTGTTAAAGTGTTACTTCGTGTGTGAAAGTGTTAGTTGGTGTGTGAAAGTGTTACTTGGGGAGTGGAAGATTTCCTTGGTGTGTGAATGTGTTACTTGGAGTGTGAAAGTGTTACTTGGGGTGTGAAAGTGTTACTTGGTTTGTGAAAGTGTTACTTGGTGTGTTAAAGTGTTACTGGTGTGTTAAAGTGTAATCTGGTTATGAAAGTAATAATTTTTGTGTTAAAGTGTTACTTGGTTAATAAAGTGTTACTTGGTGTGTTAAAGTATTACTTGGTTATGAAAGGGTTACTTGGTTATGAAAGTGTTACTTGGTTATAAAAGTGTTACTTGTTTATGAAAGTGTTACTTGGTTTGTTAAAGTGTTACTTGGTGTGTTAATGTGTTACTTGCTTATGAAAGTGTTAATTGGTGTGTTAAAGTGTTACTTGCTTATGAAAGTGTTAATTGGTGTGTTAAAGGGCTACTTGGTTATGAATGTGTTACTTGGTGTGTTAAAGTGTTACTTGGTGTGTTAAAGTGTTATTTGGTTATGAAAGTGTTACTTGGTGTGTTAAAGTGTTAATTGGTGTGTTAAAGGGTTACTTGGTTATGAAAGTGTTACTTGGTGTGTTAAAGTGTTACTTGGTGTTTTAAAGTGTTAATTGGTTATGAAAGTGTTACTTGGTGTGTTAAAGTGTAATTTGGTTATGAAAGTGATACTTTGTGTGTTAAAGTGTTACTTGGGGTGAGAAAGTGTTACTTGGTTATGAGAGTGTTACTTGGTGTGTTAAAGTGTTTCTTGGTTATGAAAGTGTTACTTGGTTATCAAAGTGTTACTTGCTGTGTTAAAGTGTTACTTTGTTATGAAAGTGTTACTTGGTGTGTTAAAGTGTTACTTGGTGTGTGAAAGTGTTACTTGGTTATGAAAGTGTTACTTGGTGTGTTAAAGTGTTACTGGTGTGTTAAAGTGTTACTTGTTTATGAAAGAGTTACTTGATTATTAACGTGTTACTTGGTTATTAAAGTTTTACTTGTTTATGAAAGTGTTACTTGGTGTGTTAAAGTTTTACTTTGTTATGAAAGTGTTACTTGGTGTGCGAAAGTGTTACTTGGTGTGTTAAAGTGATACTGTAACCTTGGTTATGAAAGTGTTACTTGGTGTGTTAAAGTATTAATTGGTTATGAAAGTGTTACTTGGTGTGTGACATTGTTACTTGGTTATGAAAGTGTTACTTGGTGTGTTAAAGTGTTACTTGGTTATGAAACTGTTACTTGGTGTGTTAAAGTGTTACTTGGTGTGTTAAAGTGTTACTTGGTGTGTTAAAGTGTTACTTGGTGTGTGAAAGTGTTACTTGTAGTGTGAAAGTGTTACTTGGTGTGTGAAAGTTTTACTTGGTGTGTAAAAGTGTTACTTGGTGTGTGAAAGTGTTACTTGGTGTGTGAAAGTGTTACTTGGTGTGTGAAAGTGTTACTTGGTGTGTGAAAGTGTTACTTGATGTGTTAAAGTGTTATTTGGTGTGTTAAAGTTGGTTATGAAACTGTTACTGGTGTGTTAAAGTGTTTCTTGGTGTGTTAAAGTGTTACTTCGGGTGTGAAAGTGTTACTTGGTGTGTTAAAGTGTTACTTTGAGTGTTAAAGTGTTACTTGGTGTGTTAAATTGTTATTTGGTGTGTTAAAGTGTTACTTGGTGTTTTAAAGTGTTACTTGGTGTATTAAAATGTTACTTGGTGTGTTAAACTTTTACTTGGTTTGTTAAAGTGTTACTTGGTGTATTAAAGTGTTACTTGGTGTGTTAAAGTGTTACTTGGTGTGTTAAAGTGTTACTTGGTGTGTTAAAGTGTTACTTGGTGTATTAAATTCTTACTTGGTTATGAAAGTGTTACTTGGTGTGTTAAAGTGTTACTTGGTTATGAAAGTGTTACTTTGTGTGTGAAAGTGTTACTTGGAGTGTTAAAGTGTTACTTGGTGTGTTAAAGTGTTACTTTGTTATGAAAGTTTTACTTGTTGTGTGAAAGTGTTACTTGATGTGTTAACTTGTTACTTGGTGTGTGAAAGTGTTACTTGGTGTGTGAAAGTGTTACTTGGTTTTAAAAGTGTTACTTCGTGTGTGAAAGTTTTACTTGGTGTTTGAAAGTGTTACTTGGTGTGTAAAAGTTTAACTTGGTGTGTGAAAGTGTTACTTGGTGTGTGAAAGTGTTTTTTGCGCTGTGAAAGTATTACTTTTGGTGTGAAAGTGTTACATTGTGTGTGAAAGTGATACTTGGTGCGTAAAAGTGTTACTTGGTGTGTGAAAGTGTTACTTGGTGTATGAAAGTGTTACTTGGTGTGTGAAAGTGTTACTTGGTAGTTAAAGTGTTACTTGGTGTGTTAACGTGTTACTTGGTTATGAAAGTGTTACTTGGTTATGAAAGTGTTACTTGGTGTGTTAAAGTGTTACTTGCTTATGAAAGTGTTAATTGATGTGTTAAAGTGTTACTTCGTTATGAAAGTTTACTTGGTGTGTTAAAGTATTACTTGGTGTGTTAAAGTGTTACTTGGTTATGAAAGTGTTACTTGGTGTGTTAAAGTGTTACTTGGTTATTAAAGTGTTACTTGGTGTGTTTAAGTGTTACTTGGGGTGTGAAAGTGTTACTTGGTGTGTGAAAGTGTTAGTTGGTGTGTTAAAGTGTTACTTGGTTATGAAAGTGTTACTTGGTGTGTGAAAGTGTTACTTGCTGTGTTAAAGTGTTACTTTGTTATGAAAGTGTTACTTGGTGTGTTAAAGTGTTACTTGGTGTGTTAAAGTGTTACTTGGTTATGAAAGTGTTACTTGGTGTGTTAAAGTGTTACTGGTGTGTTAAAGTGTTACTTGGTTATGAAAGGGTTACTTGGTTATGAAAGTGTTACTTGGTTATGAAAGTTTTACTTGTTTATGAAAGTGTTACTTGGTGTGTTAAAGTGTTACTTCGTTATGAAAGTGTTACTTGGTGTGTGAAAGTGTTACTGGGTGTGTTAAAGTGTTATTTGGTTATGAAAGTGTTACTTGGAGTGTTAAAGTGTTACTTGGTTATGAAAGTGTTACTTGGTGTGTTAATGTTTTACTTGGTGTTTGAAAGTGTTACTTGGTGTGTGAAAGTGTTACTTGGTTTTGAAAGTGTTACCTGGGGTAGAAACGTGTTACTTTGGTTGTTAAAGTGTTGAATGGCCATTTTCATTATACATGAATATAAAAAATATTATTTTGTTAAACAGACACAACAAAAATGTTTTTGATAACAACTCATTAAGTGAAAAAGAATCACCTTAAACTACGTCGTCTGAAGTTAGTATTAAAAAAACTGATTGCCCTGTGCTTGAGTGTGTACAACGGAGAAACGATCCTACTCCAAGTAACTGTAAGCGAAATTGATGCCGATTGGATAGGTCGCAGCCTATGCACGCTACATTTTATTTTTCCAGATGCAAATACAGGCAGAGAAGTACTGCAACAGTACTCGCCCCCGACACCACCTTTTGGGAACCATACCTATGTCATTCTACTCTTTAGTCATAAAGATAAAATCAGTCAAGTACCAGTTGGTTCATGTGGCACAGACCCAGCAGGAGGGTAAGACAAACAAGATAGTCAGGCATGGTTATTATTGTGTTGACCGACTAGGTCATTAGCTGTATGTGGTCTAGTGGTGTTTACCGGTTAGATCATTACCGTTATGTGTTCTCTTAGTGTTGATAATCTAGGTTTTAAAGGGGCCATTCATTGCGTACGTACGTACAAAAAGTCAATTTTCGACTCCCCCCCCCCCCAAAAACCACTGTTACCAGGGCACTTTTTTCGATCCCCCACCCCGATGCGTGCGTTCAAGAAGCCTAAGAGCCCTACCCCCACCCCAAACAAACCAAACAACAACAACAACAAACAACAACACAAACTAGATTTATAGATAATTATGACGTCACAGAAACAAATTTACCAGTCGTTTGCACAGCCGATTGTTTGACCAGACCAGTGGTTCCCATGATCTATGCCCCGTCGCCGTGGGTGCCACTTTGTCCCCGGGCAGAGCCATGAGAATGGGGCAAAGAGCAAAGACGCATCGAGCATTATCCCCGTCTTTAGATAGCACCTAAGTAGATTACATTTTTACAGGCTCGAACCGAATAGATTTTTTTCTATATAATTAGTTGCACCATCTACCGCTTAGCCCCAGGTACAGCGTTTTTTCGGCATAGCCCTGCTCTGGGTTGCTTCGGTTTGGCCATGTCCTGGGTTTGCTCGGATTGGCACTGTCCTGGGACTCTTTGGCTTAGCCATGTACTGGGTTTGCTCGGATTGGCACTGTCCTGGGACTCTTTGGCTTGGCCATGTCCTGGGTCGCTTAGGCTACCCCATGTCCTGGGTTGCTTTGGCTTGGCCATGTCCGGAGTTCCTTCTGCCTGGCCATGTCCGGGTTTACTTTGGCTTGGCCATGTCCTGGGTTCCTTCGGCTTGGCCATGTCCTGGGTTACTTTGACTTGGCCATATCCTCGCTTACTTGGCCATGTCCTGGGTTGCGTTGGCCTGGCTATTTCCTGGGTATCTCCGGCTTAATCTTGTCCTGGGTTGCTTTTGCTTAGCAATGTCTTGGGTTGCTTCGGTTTCATACCCACAAGTTCATGAAATCTCAAATTCGTCAACTCCACACCCTCCCTTTCGTACACTATGGATGGCCCCCAAAAGGATGTGTTCTAATAGTGGTTACAGGCTAGTTCATGAATTGTTGATGGTCAGTGTTTGTAACGACCTCTAATCCATTGTATACAGTTTGTCCCTCATTCATTGATGAGCTGTCGCCGTTTTCTCTATCCTCGTTCAGACCATCCGGCAGCCCATGCTGGAACCTGAAAGAGCTACCCTCCGATTTCGTTGTAATCGCTCTGTCGTGGTTTGATGCGGAGTCGGACGAATTTTCTCAAGAATACGCATCAAAAACTTCTCAAACAGGTAGTACCCAGGGCAACCAACTGCTCCAATGACTCGATAGAAAAATCCGGCTATTATCATTCTTAAATATGCATTAATAATCAATGATGCCAATTAAAAACAATCCACCTTTTAAAAATGTTCTCCTAATGTTAGATATAGGCGTTCTATATTTTACTCTCATTTAATCTTTTCCTGGTGAACGACCTTAAGCTGACCCCACATTCGCATGCGTTATTATTGGGCGTGGCTTACTCCCGTTGATCTTTTTTTACCGCAAACCAATCTATCGCCTGTTTCTAGACTCGAATGCGGTAGAACACTGTAGAACATTTGAGTCACTTTGCGTTGCGTATTATGACCTCAAATCTTCTATGGATAGACTATAAATACATCCGAATGGTTGAATGAGACAGCAGAATGCAAGAGATAGACGCAGACAGCGTGAGAGAGTTATTTTGGAATGAGTGAGTGCTTTGCTTACATCAGGCTTCCTTTCATTATTTGTACCTTTTTGCACACTATGGTTTATTCGACATTGTACTGGTACCAGCCACACAATATACTTTAATAGTTTTAAATTATAAATCTTTTTGACTTTTGTACTTTATTATTAATTGAATATAACTTATTAATTGTAATAGGCCCTGATTCGAGTATCGTATTCTCTGTTATTGTTTTTTATCATTTGGTATCGTCTTTTGGTATGCACTGTTTTGGAACGAGCCATACATGTAAACAGGAGATTAATTTCTCCCTACTGACAACGGTGCGTAACACTTGCATTAATCATTTTTAAAACGACTTTCCACTAAAAACGAAGTTGACTCATGTAAGAGGGCTTTGAAATTTATTTGCGTATATCAAAAATTCCACTCTTCTAGTCACACTGGATCTATTAGTTTCATGTCTCTTCTACCCACACTGGATCTTATAGTTTCACTTCTCTTCTACCCACCCTGGATCTATTCGTTTTATCTCTCTTTTGAATTAATATTTTACTCTTGGTCTAACATATAATTCATAACAAACAGTATTTACTTGGGTTAAAGACAAAGACACGATACTGTCAGCCTACATAGGCTGCTAATCTAAAGCTTGATGTTTTAACACAAATATTTGTGAATTTTTTTTTTAAAATCAGTGGTTCTCATCCTGTGGTTCGCGAACTCTTTGGGGGGTCGAACTACCCATACACGGTGGTCGCCAAAGACCATCGGTAAAATCCCATTTACTTGACAGTTATAAAGGAGCAACGAGATCTATTTTATACTTTGGGTTTGCCACAACATGAGGGGGTTGTATTAAAGGGTCGCGGAATTAGGAAGGTTGAGATCATGGCTTCTTTCAGCTATATCTCGGGGGGGGGGGCAGTGCCTCCCCGGGGAAAGCCAAGTGCCCCCCGGAGCAAAAATATGGCCAACAGTAAATCAACTGGAAAGGCTGGCACGCTCCCCCCCCCCCTGGGGGTTGTATTAAAGGGGGGGGGAATTAGGAGGGTTGGGGTCATGGCTTCTTTCAGCTATATCCCGGGGGGGGGGGCAGTGCCTCCCCGGGGAAAGCCAAGTGCCCCCCGGAGCAAAAATATGTCCAACAGTAAATCAACTGGAACTGCTGGCACGCTCCCCCCCCCCCTTTTTCCGAAAAAATCTGAAGTTCTCCCCCGGGGGAAAATTTCTGACAGAAACAGTGGTTGAGATCCACTGTTTTATATGAATCCCGATAAGCACAATCTGAAACCTTCGGCGAAAGAATTTATTCCGTATGTCAAGTCAATCGTAATTCCTTTGGATCGAATGGTTTTTGAACGGGCGAACATTGGATAAACCTCCAGTCAGGTTTGAGTTGGGGGAGTCGAAAGCCATGTCCTGCTACACCATCACGATTGTTTTATTTAATAGCATTGGAAACGGGGCTGTCTATTAATGGTATAATAAAAGGTGTTAGCCTAGAAACTTCCCTTGAAGGGTGGGCACTGTGTAACGCTCGTGTGAACAAACAATACGGCCCGCTGATACGTCTAAAGTGGTCCGCAAGTAGTGCCGTGAACATGTACCCTGCTGTCCGGTTGCAAGCCTGAGACCAACTGTCCAGGCAATTAGAAATTATTTTAAAAATTTCGTTTTTAAATAAAAGATACAATTTCGAATAAGACTTTTGTTATTTTGACCCCTTACCTCCACTGGCGCCAGCTTTAGTCTACCCGAATTACCAGTAGTGTCTGTCCACGTCAGTCGGTTTTTCACAGGTGATGCACGATAGCAAATAAACTACCTTACATTCATGTGCTAAAATCGACCGAGTGCCCCGGGGAGTATTTTCCAATTTTAGTCAGCCCTACCCGCAAGACCCTCAGACGAGTAGAGTAATGTCTTCGTGGTAAACGCAATTTGCGAAAGGTTAGCTATTAAGGCTTATGAAAATGGAAAGTGCGGCAACGTAAAATAAAAAATTTAAATTGAAAAGTGGCAGAACACCCTGAAAATAATTAGTTATTCCTCTCCGCCTTTAAAACTCATTAAAGCTGTCGTATCTTTTTGTCTTCTTCTTCTTCTATTCCAGATTGCTCAGAAAACCCAAATGCGTTCAGTTGCTTGTCGGGTGGTGCCCCTTTAGAGAGCAACCCACCCATACGCATAGCTGTCAGCCACGAGGTTTTGCCAAGCGCAGATCCTGCTGTCACTGACAAGCCTGCCACTGAGGCTGTCACCGCCGGCACCCCGGCTGCGGCTAAACCAAATGAGGCAACCGGCCCGGCCACACTCGACGCGAGTAACGACACCACGTTGGCAGAGGTGACGGCCGCCCCCACGCAAAAGGAAACTGTCAAGACGACGAAAGAGCCCGTCAGGTCGATCGGTTCTAGCGTTGAAACCAGACTGTTTTCTGTGTGGGTCATCGTTCTTCCAGCCACACTGGATCTGTTAGATCTCTTCTAGCCACACTGGATCTATTAGTGTCATCTCTCTTCTACCCACACTGCATCCAATAATTTTATCTCTCTTCTACCCACACTGCACCCAATAATTTCAGCTCTCTTCTAACCACACTGAATCTATTAGTTTCATCTCTCTTCTACCCACACTGCACCCAATAATTTCAGCTCTCTTCTACCCACACTGCACCCAATAATTTCAGCTCTCTTCTAACCACACTGCATCCAATAATTTCATCTCTATTCTAACAACACTGAATCTATTAGTTTCATCTCTCTACTACCCACACTGCATCCAATAATTTCAGCTCTCTTCTAGCCACACTGAATCTATTAGTTTCATCTCTCTTCTACCCACACTGCACCCAATAATTTCATCTCTTTCCTAACCACACTGGATCTATCAGTTTCATCTCTCTTCTACCCACACTGCACCCAATAATTTCATCTCTTTCCTAACCACACTGGATCTATCAGTTTCATCTCTCTTCTACCCACACTGCATCCAATAATTTCATCTCTCTTCTACCCACACTAGATACATTACATCCATGTATCTACCTTTAGCCATATTAGATCTATTAGATAAGTGAAACCCACGCCAATAAGCTGTAATTTTGCCTATAATAGAGTAGCGGAGTAGGTAGGGAGCCGAAAGAAGCGTGTGTGTGTGTGTGGGGGGGGGGTATACATCACTTTATATCGTTTTGGGAGTAGAAAGACCATTAAAAAGTGAGGAGTAGGGTCCCATGAGATCGTTGGGGGGGGGGGGGGTTAGAAGCTCCCTATAGTGTTGTGAAGTAGAAAGCCCATTATAGCGTGGGGAAGTAGAATGCCCATTACAGCTTCGCAGCTAGAAAAATCAATATCGTTTTGGGAGTAGAAAGACCATTAAAAAGTGAGGAGTAGGGTCCCATGAGATCGTTGGGGGGGGGGGGTGTTAGAAGCTCCCTATAGTGTTGTGAAGTAGAAAGCCCATTATAGCGTGGGGAAGTAGAATGCCCATTACAGCTTCGCAGCTAGAAAAATCAACATAGCAAAGTCCATTTGCAACGTGTGTGGTAGAAAAACCTGTCAGTTATACTGGCCATTACCCGTCTGTCATCTTGGCCAGGCTTTAGTCCTGTTTTTGTCTGTATCTCTTGCCTGTTTGTAGTCCTGTGTTTTTCTGCAGTTCTTGTCTTTCAGCGGTACTAATCAGACGGTAGGCCTGCTGACTTACAACACAACCAACGTTATGCATAGGTAGCCTCTATCACGTAGATCATGATCGTTATATTTCTTCTTCCTTGGGCGTATAGATTTTGACCATCAGATACATTTGTTTTGAAGGATTTTAAAAAAAAATAGTTTGTGGGTGTGTGGGTCGGATTCTTGGAAGTAAAGGCACGCATGACAAGAGACATCTGGTAATTTTGAAATCCCCCCCCCCCCAAAACAAAAAAACAAAAAAAAACCTTTTTTTTCCCCCTGGTAAGCGTCAAACGGCAGCACCACAAGATGTGTTGATGCCAACTGATGGCCTTCATCGTATTTTCTTCTGGAAACGTGTTTCGTGTATCTGTATTGATAGAAACATCCCCAGGTTTGGTCCCTGTCCTAACCCTAGCCCCGTCCTAGTGTTGGGATTGTGATGCACAGCATACGCAAACAATGTGAGAGGATGAAGGGATTCATCAGTGGATTTTTGCTCCTCCTCTGAGCTATTCGTAAGACAGCACGTGTCTCTATGGCTCGTCTTAATTAAACAATGTTGCAATCTTTTAAGTGTCTAGTGTTGGTGGAAATCAGTTGCGTACCCAGGGGGTGTGGGGGGTGGGGTTAGAAGTGGGCGTCCGCTCCCTGTGTACATTTTGGGGGTAATATATAAGTCTGCGTGTGTGTAGTGTGCGTGTGTATAGTGTGCGTGTGTATAGTGTGCGTATGTGTAACGGCTTCACTCTTTTAAGAGTTCACCCCCAGGCGCCATGTCGTCGAGCTACACCGCTGTGTGTATGAAAGACAACCGCCTTGTGGGAAGTAAAAGGCTGGTAAGATAACCTAGCAATGGTGGGATGTCGCAACCTTGGACTATTTTAGTCAGATAATCTCGGTGAAGAGGATCGTCAACTATATCAAAAGTCTGACACAGTCTATGTCAACTGAATAGTTGTTGAAACGTTGACACGGTCTATGTCAACTGAATAGTTGTTGAAACGTTGACACGGTCTATGTCAACTGAATAGTTGTTGAAACGTTGACACGTTCTATGTCAACTGAATAGTTGTTGAAACGTTGACACGGTCTATATCAACTGAATAGTTGTTGAAACTTTGACACAGTCTGTCAACTGAATAGTTGTTGAAACTTCGACACAGTCTATGTCAACTGAATAGTTGTTGAAACTTTGACACAGTCTGTCAACTGAATAGTTGTTGAAACTTCGACACAGTCTATGTCAACTGAACAGTTGTTGAAACTTTGAAACCCCCTAAGCCCTTCTCTTGCCCGCCCCTATGTCTTAAACATATGATTGAAGTATACATTTTAGGGAAAAAATATATAAATATGTGTATGCAAGGCATTTTTTCCCCCTCATTCTAAATATATACGCTCAATTAATACACAATATTATTGCAATGTTTTTTGAACTAAGAGAGCTGAAGAAGACCGGCCAACATTTATTTTGTGTTGTTAATATTGGTGTGTGCTATTTAACAATGGATTGTGTTGTTAACGTTGGTGTGTGTTAACTTTGGTCCGTGTTGCTTACACTGGTCTAAGTTGCCAACATTGTGCTAGGGGCTGGGTGTAGGAGCCTATCGACAACGTTGGTCTATAACGATGATACAATTTTCAATGCTTTTTATATGGCCCTATTTAGCTAACGCTTTTTTACTGTGGCTGTGATCGGATATTGCACCAACAAACAAACGATATGTTGTCTATGTTACTAAACAATATTTTTAAATAGTATTACAAGAACTTGTGTTTCGAATCAGTTTCTACAATTATACGATTGTTGTCACAGGACAGCCACGTTTAACAGAAGAATCAAATTATGATCTTTTATGTTTTAGTTAGGGAGACGTTCAAAGATAGTTTATTAATTTCGAAAATAGGTTTTAGACCAAAGAAATAAGTATGCGTATTTGTATTAGCTTTTTTAAAAAATAATCTTGTGTACAAAAGTTTTGTGTACAATTAACTTGTGTACAATGATCTTGTGTACAATAATCTTGTGTACAATAAGCTTGAGTATCATAATCCTGTGGTGTTTCATAATGAGGAATGTTCGTCTACAAGAAGAAATAAATATATTATAGGCAGCAGCCGCGTCTTAATTTTTGCTCCGCTAGCAGAGTGAGAGGTATGTCAGGACATTAGGTGGCCTGTCAATGTCGGGTCATTAGGTGGCCTGTCAATGTCAGGTCATTAGGTGGCCTGTCAATGTCAGGTCATTAGGTGGTCTGTCAATATCAGGTCATTAGGTGGTATGTCAGTGTCAGGTCATTAGGTGGTCTGTCAATGTCAGATCATTAGGTGGTCTGTCAATGTCAGATCATTAGGTGGTCAGTCAGTGTCAGGACATTAGGTGGTCTGTCAATGTCAGGTCAGAAAGTGATGTTTCAATGTAAGGACAGTAAGTGGTGTGTCAATGTAAGGACAGTAAGTGATGTGTCAATGTAAGGACAGAAAGTGGTGTGTCAATGTCAGGTCAGAAAGTGGTGTGTCAATGTAAGGACAGTAAGTGGTGTGTCAATGTAAGGACAGTAAGTGATGTGTCAATGTAAGGACAGTAAGTGGTGTCTCCGGACAGTATGTGATGTGTCAATGTGAGGACAGTAAGTGGTATCAATGTCAGGACAGTAAGTGGTGTGTCAGCACAATATGTGGTGTGTCAATGTGAGGTCAGTAAGTGGTATGTCAATGTCAGGACAGTAAGTGGTGTGTCAGGACAGTATGTGATGTGTCAATGTGAGGACAGTAAGTGGTATCAATGTCAGGACAGTAAGTGGTGTGTCAGGACAATATGTGGTTTGTCAATGTGAGGACAATAAGTGGTGTGTCAATGTCAGAAAAGTAAGTGGTGTGTCAGGACAGTAAGTGATGTGTCAATGTAAGGACAGTAAGTGATGTGTTAATTTCAGGACAGTAAGTGGTGAGTCAATGTGAGGACAGTAAGTGGAGTGTCAGGACAGTATGTGGTGTGTCAATGTAAGGACAATATGTGGTGTGTCAATGTAAGGACAGTATGTGATGTGTCAATTTCTGGACAGTATGTGATGTGTCAATGTCAGGACTCTAAGTGGTGTGTCAATGTCAGGACGGTAAGCGGTGTGTCAATGTCAGGACAGCAAGTGGTGTGTCAATGGCAGGACAGTAAGTGATGTGTCAATGTCAGACAGTAAGTGGTGTGTCAATGTAAGGACAGTATGTGGTGTGTCAGGACAGTATGTGGCGTGTCAATGTAAGGACAATATGTGGTGTGTCAATGTAAGGACAGTATGTGATGTGTCAATGTCTGGACAGTATGTGATGTGTCAATGTCAGGACTCTAAGTGGTGTGTCAATGTCAGGACAGTAAATGGTGTGTCAATGTCAGGACAGTAAGTGGTGTGTCAATGTAAGGACAGTAAGAGGTGTGCCATAGTCAGGGCAGTAATTGTTGTGTAAATTTCAAGACCGTAATGGGTGTATCGATTTCTGCACAATACGTGGTGTGTCAATGTCAGCAAAGTAAGTGGTGTGTTATGACAGGAATCTGTGTGCCAGTGTCAGCACAGTAAGCAGTGTGCCAGCACAGTAAATGGTGTGCTAACAATGTAGGATCTTACAAAAGCGTTAAAGTTAAATCTGTAAATGTATAGTTAATTCAAGATTCATATGGAGTAAACACTAACATTAGCATTGATTACTAACTTACACACACACACACACACAAAAAAGGTTTATTCCTGGTTACTTTGAGCTTCGTATGAGATTTTTCTTCAATGTTATCATTAAAAAGATCATCACTCAGATCCAGTCGCCATTTGGGCATGTGCCTTTTGGCCTTCAGCCCTAGTGAACTTTACGGTCCATTTCATCTCGTGGAGGTATACGATCCACCCCCCCCCCACCAGCAGCATGTGAAATACAAAAACCTTCGGCCCGCGGCCATGGTGTAAGTTGTTCTTTGTTGGCATATAGGGTTTTGACGAAGTCTGATATTATTGGTAGATGGTTCAGGCGTAAGTCTTGAAGAGNCTTTTGGCCTTCAGCCCTAGGGAACTTTACGGTCCATTTCAGCTCGTGGAGGTATACGATCCCCCCCCCCCCCCCACCAGCAGCATGTGAAATACAAAAACCTTCGGCCCGCGGCCATGGTGTAAGTTGTTCTTTGTTGGCATATAGGGTTTTGACGAAGTCTGATATTATTGGTAGATGGTTCAGGCGTAAGTCTTGAAGAGCTGGCCAGCATTGGAAGAGGTGATGTTTTACTGTCCTTAAACTAGTTTAAGGTTCTCTCTAAAATGAAAGTAGATGATTGCAAAATGTAATTAAAACTCTATTGCGTTGTGAAAGATTCAAGTTAAAAAAAAACAAAAAAAACCCTAATTTTCAAATGTGACATTATATTATAGTTGTAAAAAATACAGGCCTAAATTTAAACATTGGGTAAACTCTTTTTAAACACAAGAAGCCCCAGTATTAGTAAACATTATTTTCATATACAAACATGACACCAATATAAGGGTGAGGCTTTTTACATGTGTACAAGACACCACGAAATGAGTAAACGTTTTGTACATATGCAAGACACCAATATATGAGTACAAACATTTTTACATACACAAAGCGCCCATATATGATGAATGACATTTGGTGCATAAAATACAACTGACCAAGATATGCCAAATCATTGTGTACACAAGACGATAACACTTGCAACACTTCAACACACAAAAAGAACTCCAACAAACAATGTTATTCAAAAAGTGTGTTCTTTAATATCACCTTTGACATGTTGATGGGAAGCCACCACTATGGGCACCGACCCAAGGTAATCGCACAGACATGTTACATAGAGTTGTACTTGTACACAGTAATATGACAGTGATGACAGACAACTGCATGTACACGTCTGTCGGGGTTTGTTTGATTCATACATCATACATAGAGAAATCAGTGGGTAAGAGATTGAACCAAGTGGGTAAAAGATTGAACCAAGTGGGAAACAGATTGAAACAAGTGGGTAACAGTAACAGATTGAAACAAGTGGGAAACGGATTGAAACAAGTGGGTAAGAGATTGAACCAAGTGGGAAGCTGATTGAACCAAGTGGGAAACAAATTGAATCAAGAGTAAATTTTTTTTTAAAATATTAAAAAAAACCAAACCAACAACACAATAATACATATTCGTTAAGGCCTAGGCTAGCCGTAGGAACAAAGCGTTGTGCATGCTTATACATCACAAACCCTAGCGGCACACACCCTAGCTAAGCAACTGGTAGCCCATGTGTTGTGTCGAGTGTGACGGGGTGATGCCAGGTGGCACAAGCCCTAGCTAAGCTACTGGTAGCCCATGTGTTGTGTCGAGTGTGACGGGGTGATGCCAGGTGGCACAAGCCCTAGCTAAGCAACTGGTAGCCCATGTGTTGTGTCGAGTGTGACGGGGTGATGCCAGGTGGCACAAGCCCTAGCTAAGCAACTGGTAGCCCATGTGTTGTGTCGAGTGTGACGGGGTGATGCCAGGTGGCACACGCCCTAGCTAAGCAACTGGTAGCCCATGTGTTGTGTCGAGTGTGACGGGGTGATGCCAGGTGGCACACGCCCTAGCTAAGCAACTGGTAGCCCATGTGTTGTGTCGAGTGTTACGGGGTGATGCCAGGATACGAGTAACGGGGAAAAGAGACGTGCTTGTCACAGGTCGAGGTGACCTATTTGTGACAGGTCGAGGTGACATGCTTCTGACAGGGCAATGTGGGAGATTTGAGACAGGTCGATGTGACCTGCTTGTGACAGGTCGAGGTGGCATACTTCTGACAGAGCAATGTGGCACATTTGGGACAGGTCCATGTGACCTAATTGTGAGAATGTAAAATGAATTTTTTAAAAATATCCTAGAAGTCAAGATCAACCCTATATTATCACGTATGTTAAGCAGTTGTTAGTTTTGGATAAATTTTGTTTTACTTTTGTGAGACGGAAAACGCAGAGTCCAAGCTTTGAATGTTTAGGAAATCAGACACGGAGCAACGTGTAGTGGCTCAGTTGTCCCGTCTGGTAAACTTAGCACATCATCCTATCTATTTATAGAAACATTATGATCTTTTCAGACGGAGAAGCCTGAAAGGTAGACGAGCACGCCGGACAGGCAGCTGAGGGAAAGGTGTGCTCTCAGGCCTCATGGCAATCTTGGAAAGCTGACAAAATACCTGAATTATTCTTCTTATTTTGTTTGTTTTATTTGAGATGATGCTTTCAAAATACAAACTAAAATATCAGTGACAGGCGGGTGCAAGTCAATTGAAATAAAAATATTCATCCATAATGTTTTCATAAAATTATATTTATTTTTCTAAAGAAAAATCACCTAAAACCTAGAATAGCAACAAATATGATATGACATTCTGTTGTTGTGACACATGGCTACATCCTAGGAACGCAAGCAAGGACACATTCTCAGGATTGTTAATGTGTAGGAGGGGGTGGGTGGGGGACGAAGAAAGACCTAACTAATCCGTTACGACAAATTTAAACGGCGAGATATTTATTTCACACAAGAACATGGCGTGTACACTCATTTTTACACACATTGTTGCACTCATTGCTACACGCATTGTTACACTCATTGCCCCCGAAGACTCATAAAACTATCCATACTTATTGAAAAGATAAAAATCTATTATTCAAGACCTTATTTAGAGTCATCGGGACAGAGTTCGAACACAATTTGTGCTTATGTCTCGTCCCTAGGTCTATTCACTGACGCGTAGTGTGTATGGGAGAACAGAAGCACTTTCGACGTTGTGTGCAGTGTACGGCGATACAGTAGCACCATCAACGTTTTGTGCAGTGCACGGCGGTACAGTAGCACTATCAACGTTTTGTGCAGTGCACGGCGGTACAGTAGCACCATCAACGTTTTGTGCAGTGCACGGTGGTACAGTAGCACTATCAACGTTTTGCGCAGTGCATGGTGGTACAGTAGCACTATCTATGTTGTATGCAGTGTACGGCGGCACAGTAGCGCTAAACTAGAAGCGTTTTGTGTAGTGTACGGCGGTACAGTAGCACCATCAACGTTTTGTGCAGTGCACGGCGGTACAGTAGCACCATCAACGTTTTGTGCAGTGCACGGCGGTACAGTAGCACCATCAACGATTTGTGCAGTGCACGGTGGTACAGTAGCACTATCAACGTTTTGTGCAGTGCATGGTGGTACAGTAGCACTATCTATGTTGTATGCAGTGTACGGCGGCACAGTAGCGCTAAACTATAAGCGTTTTGTGTAGTGTACATGGCGCTATGGTAGCTCTGTCATAGTTTAGTTTAGTGTATATGGCGATACAGTAGCACTATCATAGTTTAGTGTAGTGTATATGGCGGTACAGTGGCACTATTGTAGTCTTGTGCATTAACTAAGGGTTGTTACATGAACAATAAATAAAGTGGCAGGGGGAGAGAAGCTTTGTACACGCCCTTCTGTGTTTACCTGAACGAATATATACACATTTCATTTTTATCCATGCCGGAATATTTCACCGACACAACAACCCGTGAATTTCATGGCATCCATAAAGTTTAATAAACACATAAGGAACATAGTATTCGTGTCACTAAATAACATACGCCTCAATAGATTTCTGATAATTTATTTTCGAATCGTTGTGGTAACCTTAAAAAAACAACATATATATCCTGTTTGTTTCTCGTTCGTTGATGCTATGGTGAAATAAAGTCCCATGTGATTTCTCTTCAAACACAGAAGTTGAGATCTTCGATAGTTTCAACTAATCCTTGTTGTCCTATAGCCTTTGTTCTCGTAAGAAATCAATCTAGTAATGTTCATATTTAAAAAAATATAAAAAAAGAGAGTCTGTTTAATTGAAGCAAGTAACTATATGCCAAGGGACACAAGCATCTCTATTCTACACATCCGGGACGGGTTTTTATTTCCCTTGATTTTCTAAAGGCACTTCTTGAGGTACAGTTTTGGGTGTGCTCGTGAGGTCGTCCTGCAGGACCTCCATCTGCCGCCTCAGGGCTTGTAGGTGATGCTGAATGTCCTGCATTTGCTCACGAGCGTTCTGGAATGTTGAGCTGACTGCGTCGGTTGCGGTCTCCAACTGACGGTAGCTGTCGTCTATGGCCGCACTCCCTGCCCAGAACTCTTCGTCGCTGTTTAACAGCGATGCCTGGGCGGTCGGGGTCAGCGTGTTCGGGGTGGATTTCACACTGCTCATGGCCACCACGATCGGGGCGCTCTTGGGGACCACCTGGCTCTCTGCCACGGCGGGGAAGGCGTTGGAGTTGTAAAACGTGCAGCTGACGACAACGTTCGTTTCAGAGTCGTCGTCGTCGCCTGGCCCCCGACGACCACTCGGGCCGGTGCTGCTGCTGCCGCCCGTGGCAGCTAGATCGTCATCGGCTGTGGCATAGGGCTCCATCCCGTCGTCGTCTTCCTCGTCGTCGGCGTTAAAATTGCTGTCGGTGCTCTCGTCGTCGTCACGGTTTTCTGAATAAATATCCAGGTCAGATTCAGTCCTGTCCGTGGCGGACATCCTCGACCTTCGCCCGTTTCCGGACGAGTAGCAGTCTTTGTAATACTCCCGTATAGATTTAACGTTTTCCGTGGTTAGCGGCATGAACTTCGCTTCGGTGTTGGTCTCGTGGGCAGGGGTCCGATCCTGCAGGCCCTCGAGGATATGCTTGACTGACATGAGCTCGTTGAAGGTCTCCTCGATTCCAGGAATAGCCAGATTGGAGCCCGAGCTGAACCTTTCAGGATTGCGCGTCTTGTCGTTGTTCCCGTTGGGATCCGCGTTCAGGACATTGTCCAGGTCTCCCTGGTCGCTGATCTCGAAATCCTCTTCCTGGTTACATAGATCGTTATCATAGCTGCTCTTTTTTCTCCGCTCCCTCCCATGTTTTCTCTGCCGGTGGCTGTCGACGGCTACGCTTGGCTTATTTCCTGAATCTCGATAGAGGCTCGTGTCGGACTCGATTTTTTGCGAGACGCTCTCCCTCTCCAGCTCGTCTCCATTTTTACCACGGAGCCCTCCGCCCAAAAATGGGAGAATGGGTTTACTGTATTTAGGGGACGTGAGAATCCCCGATCCCATTTCGTTTCGTTGGATCCTTCGTTCGTACTCGGCGAACTCTTCGTCTTCGTCATAGCCGAACGCCGAGAGTTCAGTGACCCTGCCTGGGTTATCTCTCCTGTCAAGGGCCAGCTCAGAGCCGGTGTCGCTGCTTCCTGTGCTGAGCAGGTCCGTCTTGTTTCTCCGCCTCTTTTTCAGCCACCTCTCCCGACGTTCCCGGCGACGGATGGCCATCATGGCGGCTGACATGTGACCGGGCGGCTTCTGCCGCTTGGTCCACAGTGGCTTGTCGTCGTAGTAATCGGGGATGCCCCGCCCGGTGGCCACGTCGTCATCGCTATGATATTCACGAGAGTTGCGTCTCTGGCGCGCATCGTCAGAGTCCACATCTCGCACATTCTCGAGCTCTGGGAAAACGAAAACGTTCGGTTCCGTTTTACGTTTGGGAAATCCTTCAGAGCTGAGGAAATTCGCGTTAGTTTCACTGTCGTGTGCGTGAAAGGGTGGCGGCTCTTCGTAAATATCCGATTCCGAAGAGGTGGTGGTCGTGAGAGAGGACGAGGTTTCAATCGTGAGGACTTTCGACAGATTTCTCTCACCCGACGACATCATAGGTGCCGTGTTGTACCCAGGCTCGTCCTCGTCACTATCTGATGAAAAACTGTCGTGGCCTCGATCCAGCCTAGAAAACAAGTCTTCCACGTCGTGTTTCCTCGGCCCTGCCTCTGCGTCTTCCGCGAACACGTCGTCCTCAATGTCTTCTTGACTTCCGAGCAGATTGGACAAGCGTTTGTAAATTTTGTCCGTAAATTCTTTGATTTCGGACTCTTTCCTCAACGCCATTTCGATTTCCTTCTTCTCGTGCACCTCTGCGTCTGATCCCTCCTCTTCAAACTCTTCAATAAGTTGTTGTATTGCCGTGGGGCTTGGAGGCGGAGGAGCCTGTCGCTTGGTCTGATCATCGACGTTAGGTTTCCCCGCGGGATCGATTTGCTGCGTGGGGGTAATGGACTTCTTCGAAGCCAGAACCATTTGGAGAAATTCACTCTCGCCAGACGAGCTGTCGGTCGAGTCTCGCGTGACGAGATTCGTCACGTCCGGCCAAACCTGCCCCGCCGTTTTCTTGTCAGTGGCGTGTCTCACCAAAGGAAGAGCAGTGTTGGTTGAGGACTTGGACGAGTCGTTTCTCGTCAGGCTGTTGCTATCAACGCTTTTGTCAGCGGTCGTGACGGTGTCCGTTTGAATTTCCTGACACTTTGATTCGATTGCCATTTCTTCATTGGACCCCGTCAGGTCTCTGACGACTTGGTCATTGCTGCTGTTGAGAGGAGAGGACGGCAGGGAGACGGAACTGTCGCTGCGAACTGTTTTCTCTTCGAGCGTCAGGCACGGCAGCTCGTAGCTTGGAGTTCTCACCGTGGCCACGACCTGCTTGACGTGTTTGACACCGTACTCAGGACCAGCTTGCTGGATCTTCGGCTGCTGCAGTTGTCGTTTTTCATCTTCTTGCAGAAGCTGCTGTCGTCTTTCGATCTGCTCCTCTAGCTTGCTGACGTTGATCATCTCAGAAATGACCTTTGACACAGGATTCCTCAACACGACAAACCTCTGCTCATCCTCGCGGTTATTCGGCCGGTAATCCTTCCTGACCTCACCATCTGAACGATGATCGTTCAGTCGACTTTTAGCAGCGAGCTGCGTCACGTCGCCAGAGACTCGTGTCGTATCCCTTTTTGCGTAATCCGTATGGTGTTGAACGCCACTATCATCAACGTTACGATAACTTTGAATTTGCCTAAGTGAGGAATAACTCGTGACATCGTTTACCGATTGATCGTGATGATTAGTCTTTGCAGGTGGCCATATCTGGCCTTTATTTATAACGGCTCCTGCGTGGTACGTGGTTATGTTACAATTTCCGCTGGATGTGTTTGAAATTGGCACCGAGCTCACAACATTACGTTTAACACTGACAGAGTCACCAGGCTCTGTTCGTGCTGCTACAGACGTTTCTTGCGGTTCGAATTCCGCTCTCTTATCCTCCTCGCAGGAGATGGATTTTTGTTTTTTCACGTATAGAACACTCGTTTTCTTCCCATGCAGTGCGTCGCGAGGAGACGCCGATTGCGAGATATTTACATTGTTGAGATCTTCCTGGCCAGGTGAGGCGGGGGCTGGGAGCGGAGCACTGACGTTCAATCGGCAGGGAAGGGTAACGGCGGATCCGAAGATCACGTGTTCCGTGGAATGCTTACGTTGGGTGCCAGGAGAGGTGGGGCTGCAACATTTTTCCGGTTCTTCTTCTTTGCTACCGGTGTGGTTTTGTTTCTGCTGCAGCTGCGCGCTAGTATCACACGCAACACGCGTTAACCTATTTCTTTCGTCTGTTGAACACGGTGCGATCTCGTCGTTGCTTAACTTCCGTGTTGCGTCAAGTTTAGTGCTCACACCTCTCCCTGTGTTGCTGCCTGTGTGTTCTTGAGCGGTGGCTGGCGTCCACTCCTTGGACAATGACTTATTGAGACATGAAGGCCGTGGCTTGACTGACTCACGTGTCGCCGCACGGTCAGATGTAACGCTTTGATGTACGGCGCCAGGATGAGCAGGGCTGATTGATGATGTCGTTGCTTCCGTTGAGCGATTTGACTGCGTAGAAATCCCAGCTTCCCCAGCCACTCCGGATGTTGGGGGATTTCCCGATATACCTTTCTGTTTTATCGGAACGTGTTTGAGTTGTTCCGGATGGCCATCCCTCGGTGTGGACCGAACAGTTAAAGAAACTGAAATAGGAACTGCACTGCCTACAACCTTCACAACGTTGGTTTTTGTAAGCATATCTTTAGTGACTGGTTTGGGGGATTGGCTTAATGCGCGTACAAACGCTTTCGTTTTTTCGTTCACATTTGTGTCAGGATTGTTCAGTTGTCTTTTTACATTCGTCCCGGCCGTGCTGTCCGTTTTTTCAACCTTCATCTGCACGTGTCGTCTCAGCTTGGGCGAGACTGACCCAAAAACAGCAGAGAATGTTGGAACGATGACAGGATTCGAGTTACTGTCCCTGACGTGGTCGTACGAGGTCTTCTCATCCACCTCATCGCTGTCGTATTCCTCCACCCCGTGCTGCCTGACGAGTTGAGGACCGCTCTGTAAGAACGGCAGGGCGTCGTCGGTGTCATCCATGACGTTATCGTACTTTGACGTCGACTTCTGGGACGCGGAGAGCGGCTTCATGAGCTGCGTGGACAGGACAGGCGTCTGGGGCTGCTTGGTGGACAGGGCGTGGTAGACGGGGACCTTGGTGACGGTCTTCGTCGACATGGACTCTTCCATCCGGGACATCTCACCCGGAGATGCGTACAGCGCGGCGGTTTTCGCGCGTGGAATTTTCGGCGATATGCTCGCGTGACGCGTCCGCGCGCCGAACCTTCGCAACACGACTGGCGACATGGCAGGGCTGGGTAAACACTCGAACGTCAATCTCGTGCTCTCGCCCAGTCTTTCCGACACGGCGTTTAGATTTACGTCCCCCGGGTCTTTCTGACTGTTTCGTTTGGAGTCGTCAACATCGCGGACGACGTACAGTTTCTTTTTTAAAGACGGGGTCGACGGTAAAGACCTTGACCCTTTTACCTCATCGTCCTTTGTGCGTTTTTTCAACAGAAACGGTTCGGCGTCCGGGAATTTTTCCCGTATCGTCTGCTCTATTGATCTCTCCAGCTCTTCCAGTTTCATGATGCAAACCGCGGCCGACTTAACCATGGGAGGGCTACTCGTTCGTTTCATGAAATCGCCTTCGTCGCTTCCGTTGATCACTCTCGAGACGGACTCTAAATTTGAATCCGAGCTTCTGCTGCTTGTTCTGCTCGTCTTGTGCGTGAACAGCCGTGTTGCCGTAGTTTCAGGCGATCCAGTGATCGAAATGTTTTCGCCAGATACAACCGTGTGTGGGTTGTTGACACCGACTGGAATCGACTCTCCTGTTTGTATTTGCTTACTCTCCTTCGCGTTCTTCCCCGGGTTCTTCTGTTCTGTTTTTCTCGTCGTTCCAAATATCGATACTCTATTTTGTTTTTCTATTTTTTTGGCACTGGACCTCTCCCACGTCTTCCACAACGGGCTCGATTTTGACTTTCCATCGGCCTCCCCACTGCCGGTGTTGATCCCCCCTTTCGAAGCCGCCCCTGTTGATGCCTGCTTATCTCTGTTCTTATTTTTCTTAGATTTATCGCTTCTGCTACCTGGCCTGAACAGGTCTAGGATGTTGGCCGCGCGCCTCTGTGGGGTGGGGGTGGTGGGGCTTGACGATGATTCATCGGAAGAGATCAGCTTCACGGGAGCTGACGTCATTTTTGGAGACAGGGCTCTCCGCTGTGGGTGGGGGGAGGTCGGCTTCGGTAGATTTCGAAAGTCGGTGCTGCTGGTGGGTTGATGTTGTAGTTGTTTTTGCGTTCTCGGTTTTTGGTGGTTGTAAAAATGAGGATGATGAAATGTGGTTTTCGGCGTGATGTCCATCGAGTCGTTAGGATCGGTCTCCTGGACCCGGGTGAGTGTTGACGAGGCACCGGAAACGGGTGAGTTGGGCCTCTCCGTTCGCCCGAATATAGGCGTGGACAGAAGAGGTGTGTGGTACCCGCCGCTGACTTGTGACGAGGTCCCGACCGATGCGGCGTCGTCGCCGTGTTGAGACCTGTGCGATATGGGGGTATCGTGGCGCGATCGAGGCTGCGCTGAGTTGCTCTTCACGCTGTTGTTGCTGCGCCTCGATTTGACGCTGCTGCCGCTCCGACCCTCGAATCGCGACGTCGTCGACGAGGCTCCGTCGTCATAGGTTTCCGGCCTGGCGATATCCGGGGGTATGCAGGCCTCCAGGGAGAAGCCGTCCTTGAAGTCTTTGGAAGACAAGACTTTGGAGTGCTGGGTTGCCGACGAGAAGCTCTCGCACATGCCCGACCAGGATGTGCCGTGCTCCAGCTCAGACCGCGTGCACGCGTCCAGGTAAGGACTCGAGGAGACATTTTCCGCCGAATGAAACACGCACGACTCGGAATCCCCTCCGGTCACGTGACTCGACTCGTCGAAGTCAGTGTCCAATCCCGAGGGGTGCGGTTTCTTCTTCTTGTCTCTCTTCTCTTTCTTCTGAAGTTTCTCTTTCTCCTTCTTCGCTTCCTTTTCTCGCCTCTTGTCCCCTTTGTTCTTCTGGTCTTTTTGTTTTTGGCCTCCAATGCGATTACCCATGTCGACTTTGAACGATTTTTTTTCCCTCTCTATCTATCGAAAGATCTTTAAATAAAACTATTTTTTTTCGGCTTCAAATATGGTTATGTTCACAAAATTTCTTTGGTTTGAAGCCTGGGACGCGATAACTCTGTAACTTACTAACTCTAGAAGACGAGTTTTAGAGCAAACGAACTATCTCCGAAGAGTCGAAAGCAGAGTTTTGCGGCCATCAGGGGCAAAACTCCAATGAGTAAACACAAATGCGTGGATCATGCAGCGCATCCTACTCTCTAAGTTCTCCTAAGTTCTCTTAACTTCTCCACTTAAACATCGTGACCATTCATTCGAAAATTCCTTCTCGTTTCTAAAAAAAAAAAAAATGTTTATACCAGCCGTTTCTTCTTGGTTGTAATCCTGCGTAACGAAAGATTAATCCTATGATATCTGAAGCACGTCGCCTCTAGCGCATGCAAGAGATAAGTTTCTAGGCGTTGCACCTCACACTGGGAATACCCGATGTATGCAGAAAGAAGATAAGCACCAATTCCGTCTCAGATGGTGCTTTGTGTGTAGGAAATGTGTTTCATTTGCCTATTAAGATCTTTGTGTTTGAGCACAGTGCAAGGGGCTGTCTTCTTTGTAGTTTTGTAACTCTAATAAGCTTAGAGCTCAGTTTAATTTAAAGCTGTATTGTTTATTCCATCTACATTACATTGTAACAAAACATTTCTCCTCTTCGCAAAAATCTCCAAAATAAAAATCTATATTATATCCGATGCTATATTTGCATACTTCTGATCAAATACAATTGTTCCGATTATCTAAAATTACAATGCGTGTTTTTTTTCCCGCTAAAGATGTTTTGTTAATAAGCTGATAGTCTCCTTGTTCTGGTGTGTTTTAATGTATTTAACGCATCGGTCTTTTTCTTAATTGAGACTTCACTCTTCCAGTTTAGTATATTGTGTTGCTTAATGTTCAACAGCGGCTGCCCTCAACTGTTTTCTTTTTCATTGGCTGATTGGTCTGTTTTCGTCACACTCTTTTATTGGGAGGGAGTTACGCCGATGTGAGTTTATTCCCTTTTCCTTTTTTTTTTGGGTATTCTTTGCAGATGAAAAGTTAGTCCACGATTTATTTTTTCCTTTTGTCGTTTACCGTGTGGTACAACCAAGGCTCGATGGAGGTTTAGATCTACACCGGAAGTGAGATGCCGAAAGTAGAATCCAAAAATAATTGGCAGGCTTCAGAGATGCAGTTGCTCTATCGTTCCGTTGGTTTTTTTAGAATATAATTTTACAGCGACAACACAATCAACACACTCCTAAAACGATAAAACTGATTAAATAGCTAAGCCAACTACTAAATAGTTGAAATGTCACACGATAAAATACTTTGGTGGAAGAGACAGACGTTCTCAAATAAATAAGCAATGACGTGATGACTTGTGGAGGGGAGATGATGGGAGCGGGTAAATTCAATGAAACCTGATTTCGGAGAAACGCGTTGACGTCACTTGATGACGTATGATGTTTCGTGGGGGGAGTTGCGTGACGTAATCAATGCACACCGAGACAACAGGGCCAAATTCTTCACCTGGTGATGATAAAATATATATATAATCAGTTTAGAGACGCTGGTCTCAAACTATAATTTTAAATCATGCTTTATTGGAACAATGATAAAACCATGGCGTTAAAGATTTTTTATTTCGAGATAATAATTAAACAGAGTGACACAGGAAATTTAACCACTAATATGGCAAGTTTTTCTTTTTAAACAGCCGTTTCAGATTTACTCTGAAAGTGTAACAGGGTAAGCACTCAACTACTTTGTCATGAAGTCAGTCGATTAAAACTAATTCCTAGCCACCAAGTTTGCTGCTATCTGACGATGTATATTGTTTTTTTTGTTTTTTTAAATTGAAAAAAGCGCACATAACATATAGCCTTCCTAAGAATAACTTCTTTTACTTGAACAAATGGAGTATTCCAATTCGACCTGCTACCCATAGCTGTGAACTATCAACGATAAATGGCACACAGCCAGCTCTAAGTCGAGAGTGTCAAGAGGATGTAAACATTTCCACGAGGGACATCTAGTGTTATATTATTTCCCAATAAAAGAAATATTTGCAACATGTTCTATTTATCTAGAAATTGTTTTTTTCTGATTAGTAATTCCCCCAAATGGATGCGCAGCTGTTCATATGTTGTACCTATGAATAACCAACTTTTCAGTAACATTCATAAAAAAGTTTTCTTATTAAAACGTAACAATTTTCTATTTATCTTTTTTTTTTTTAAAATTGATATTGTGGGATTACCCGCCAAACAATGGCATCCGCAATCAGTGGCGTAGCGAGGGTGTTTGGCACCCGGGGATAAGATTCGCGCCCGGGGACAATATCCATTTTAAAGCGCCCATTTTTCTTTTTTTCAACTAAAGCCATTATTTTCATCAATAAAAAAATATCAAAGCACATTTTGCGCCCCTAACTAGCTGGCACCCGGGGACATCTGTCCCCCCCTGCCCCCACCACGCTACGCCTCTGTCCGCAATACGTGAACTTTCCACCTGATAAAGTTACTTCACAAACCACGAATCCTAGTAACGCACATTATAAGAATCCTAATTAGTGCCAACTTCTGGCAATTTTATCTTTGCCGCATATTGAACAAATCTTTACAGCCTTGCTTACATACACGCCTTAGTGCAGCGTTTCCCAACATGTGTGTCGCGAAACCTTTGGGGGTCGAACGATTCTCACACAGGGGTAGTCAAAGTCTATCGGACAACACATATTTAGGAAGTGGCAACGAAAATAGTTTTATGGGTGGGGGTCACCACAACATGTTGAATTACATTAAAGGGTCGCGGCATGAGGAAGGTCGAGAACCCCTGGCTTACAGGCTTAATATTTATGATGTGATGACAATAATCATTGACAGATGTGCACGTAGAAAGCGATTGCGCAATTATTATAAGTTAAAGGGGCAAATGACCAGAGACTTTGCTTTAGTTTCAGCTTGAGGTCATAGTCGAGGGTGTTGGAAAAGATGCTTCAGAACTTTATAGGTTTTTTTTTTCATAAAGACTTTGAATGGTTTCTCTTTAAAGGATAATAGCGGAAGCAAATTTACAAGAGATTGAATGTGAAATGTATGCGTCGTTTCATCTCAAACATATAAGTTGTAATTTGATGAAATTGGACAACAATAATTTAAAGGTAAAGATGCTTTTTCCACAGAAATAAGCTGATATTCAAAGCAATAAGATGATATTCACATAAATAAGATGATATTCACGGAAATAAGATTCTATTCACAGAAATAAGATAATATTAATGGAAATAATAGAATGTTCACATTATTAAGAATATATTCACAGAAGTAAGATGATATTCCAGACATTTAGTTATTAAATAATTTTTTTAATTTATATATTGTCTCACATGATTTACTAAGTCAATTTAATCATTCAGACTTTTCCTATGTCGTTAGACAAGGACGACATTTTTTTGAATTTGCAGGTTTTATTTAAATTGCTGTGTATTTTTGAGCCTCCAGCAAGAAACAACTTAACAACCCGATCAAGTTTTGTTTTTTCCACCCCCCTTGCCCTCCCCCCCCCTCTGAAAAGACGCCCATGTCACAAGAAATAGGTTTAATGGATCAGAAACCCACTATCCTACAACACTATGACATTATGTTATACAGGAAGAGGGAAAGAGAGTGACGTGTTTAAAGCAGTCAGACCTGTGAGCAACAGGTCCTTGCCTGCAATGATCAGGCGAAGGAAGTTTTTCCACACTTGATTCGAGAGGTCGGCGGCAAAAGGCCTTAGGTAAGTACAACTTCATTCATGGAATGTGTTCGATGCCTTGTTTATCTGGCTGCGAACTAATCTCAAGTGGACAGCTGATGCCGATGTTATCGCTTTGGGTGAACTGGTGGGTTGGCAGGCAGGTATAAATGCCAGGGGATGGAAATATGGGCTAGGAAGATATAGATCTAGGTAGGTTTTTGTGAATGGAGTTAAATGTGAATAGTTATTGTGTAAAATAAAAAGTTTATCAGGTGTACTAGAAATAAATAACGTTGGGTATAAATCTTTTTTAAAAAAAATCAAGTTTAATTAATTATTTTTTCAAACAATTATTTCAAATCAAATAATAAGAACACGATCATAAAATATTGCACACTCACGTGTTGCACGCCACTTAGTAGTCTAGTGAAAACTAAAAATTAACTAGACAGCTTTTATCTGTTTTATTTTTATAGGTTTCTATACCCGTTTTCAAATCTTTGACATAATTATATGATATGTTTTTAATTTAAATAGAAGATATTGAAAAAATATTAATAAAAACGGACGAAACTCCAATATTTTTTTGATAATTATGTCCTACATCTCTGAGCTAAAAATGGACCGAGACACGTGCCTAGTGGAATGTCTTTGTCTGACGCCAGTAAAACAATCTAGTACCAGGTTGTGACAGAGCTTCAACGTTCAACGACAGATTAATTGAAAGCACCGAAACACGTGGCTATGTTATTTCATGTTGATACCGAAATATATGATTGATTAGAAGGAACAAAATAATATCTTTAAACAAGTTTTAGAGCATGTCCGGAAGAAACTAATTATCTTTTTGCTTGTCATTTCTTTTGATGAGATTTCCCGGCCCGACAGATGTGTGAAGGGAGTTGCCTCAAGAGGGCAGGACCATGATTTCCTTTGCCAGTTCAAAGAAAACCCTCATCGGTAGGTGTAGCCTCAATGTGGGAGATAGAAATTGAATTTTAATTGACAAGAGAAGCCCGCTTCCGCACCCTACCGCATTTAGATTCCAGCTACGCCTCTGTGAAAGGCATGTTATGTTTGCTTGTTGTTGATGTAAAAGTGTCGGTCGCTGTACAAATCTCCCCATCCTGACTGCCTGGCAAATGTTTAGAATTCAGAGCTTGCTAACATTTTTTTTTAAAAATGATTTCTATCTGTTCTGTTTAGCAGGTGTGGCTATTTGGTTTAAAAAAAAACAACAAAAAAACCCCACACAATTTTTGCTTCAAGCTATCGGAAAGAAGTATTTTTGTCCACGCCAAGAGTTGTGCAAGATTTGTGTGTTGATGCTTTGCAGGAAAATGATAAGGGGCATTGACATGTGAACTGTTGTTTGTGCACTACGCGGTGTGATGAAGAAAACGAGCGAGTGTTACACAGGTCTCGGACTCTTCAGTGCAGCTAAGTGCTTATTTAAAAAAAAATTAATTCAAGTTGTTTTTACTGTTGTTTGTTCGCTGAAGAAGTCTTCGTGCAGATACGTTCGTTGTTTTGTTGCGTCATTTTCTTTTTGGTCAGGTTTTCCCATCCTCAGTTTGATTCATTTCCGTGTGTTACATAACCTCTTTGTTAGTATTAATGGGCTCATAATCATAATGGGTGTTTTACTAGGTAATAAACCACAGTTTCCACTTTAACTAATTACTAATAAGAAGGTACATCCATAATATTCCTTAATTTATTTTTGCACATTATGAAATTCCCGATAATGTGCCAATATTGCCACGACACTGTAACTTTAACATGCAAATCGCCTTCAGTCATTCAGCTTTAAGTTTAATTTTGTAAATTAATTTTTTGTTTGTTTCAGGGATAAAACGACTTGTCACCCCATGTTTTAATTCGGAGCTCATCGGACGGTGGGGTCGGATTTAAATGTAATCTCTCGGGGCCTCTTCGGGAAACATCGTGCAGTAATGCCAGGAAATATTTTATTTTGATTGCTACGCTTTAATAGTGATGACACCCAAAGGCGGTACACCAGTATACCTGAAGACACGATACCAATCAATTAAGATATCCAATGAGTCAAACACAGGCAACGCACAAACAATACATAGGTATAAAAGCAACTATTTACTTGTATGTGGTATGGTCTCAAGTCGGCTGATTATTTTTAATAAAGCAAATATTTCAAGTCTGTTATCCCTGGGGAACGGACGACTCACCTGGCAGGTGCCCAAAAAAAAAAAGGATCTTACTAATCTGTCTCTCATTGAATAACTCGACAGCTTTCGTGCAGGCCAACAGGTGAGAAACAAACAAACGATACGTGTGTGTGTCTGGCTAAGTCGGCCCCCAGCTCATGTTGATACCTGTTCCGTTCCACCCCCCCCCGTTCTCCCCCCCCCACACCCTCGCCCTCTTAATGTCACTGTATTTTATACTTCGCAGAGCCGGATCCAGAACATAATAAAGGCGAGGCATCGTTATTAACATACTTGAGTGCCTCATCCGTTCCCCCCCCCCCCGTTCTCCCCCCCCCACACCCTCGCCCTCTTAATGTCACTGTATTTTATACTTCGCAGAGCCGGATCCAGAACATAATAAAGGCGAGGCATCGTTATTAACATACTTGAGTGCCTCATAGCGATATCACTTTGTTGATAGATGTTATCGTGCCATATAGCGAGATAACCTTGGGTATAGATGTTATGGTGCCGCATAATGACATCACTTCGTTATAGATGTCATGGTGACATATAGCGATATCACTTTGGGTATAGAAGCTATAGTGTCAAAATAGATACATCACTTAGGGTATAGATGTTTTGAAGCCACTATAAAGAGATGTCACTTTTTTTGTAGAGATGCTAGCAAAGAAAAGTTAAACCTTCAATCCGAGGTGGTTTATAGAGAAATAACTCTAGGTAAAAATGCTATAATGCCACAAAGAGATATCACTTTGGGTAGAGATGTTATAGTGCCATATAGCGTTGTCACTTTAGGTAGAGATGCTATAATGCCCTAATATAGAGATATCACTTTTTGTAGAGATGCTAGCAAAGAAAAGTTAAACCTTCAATCCGTGGTGGTTTATAGAGAAATAACTCTAGGTAAAAATGCTATGCCACAAAGAGATATCATTTTGGGTAGAGATGTTATAGTGCCATATAGCGTTGTCACTTTAGGTAGAGATGCTATAATGCCCTAAGATAGAGATATCACTTTTTGTAGAGAAGCTAGCAAGAAAAGTTAAACCTTCACTCCGAGGTGTGAGTCAGGGGCATGGCATCACTTTTGAAATCGGGAGTTATCGCGCGTTGTAAGGTTCAAATTTAAAACAAAGAAGATCGTAGAGGTCCAAATTGGAGTATTTGATAGAAAACATTACATTATGGAATACTACTATCAAATTAATGTAAACATTATATTATACAATACTACTATAAAGTTAATGTAAACAATACATTATGCTATACTACTAATCAAATTAATTTTGGTCAAGTCATTCACCGGGCAAAGATATTGAAACTATAAACATAAGATGCCACAGTGGTCTTGTATTTTGCTTGTTAACTGATGATCACATGACATGTTAACTGACGATCACATGACGTGTTAACTGATGATCACATGACATGTTAACTGACGATCACATGACGTGTTAACTGACGATCACATGACGTGTTAACTTATGATCACATGACATGTTAACTGATGATCACATGACATGTTAACTGATGATCACATGACATGTTAACTGATGATCAAATGACATTTTAACTGATGATCACATGACATGTTAACTGACGATCACATGACGTGTTAACTGATGATCACATGACGTGTTAACTGATGATCAAATGAAATTTTAACTGATGATCACATGACATGTTAACTGATGATCAAATGCCATTTTAACTGATGATCACATGACATGTTAACTGATGATCACATGACATTTTAACTGATGATCACATGACATGTTAACTGATGATCAAATGACATTTTAACTGATGATCACATGACATGTTAACTGATGATCAAATGACATGTTAACTGATGATCAAATGACATGTTAACTGATGATCACATGACATGTTAACTGATGATCACATGACATGTTAACTGATGATCAAATGACATTTTAACTGATGATCACATGACATGTTAACTGATGATCAAATGACATGTTAACTGATGATCAAATGACATGTTAACTGATGATCACATGACATGTTAACTGATGATCACATGACATGTTAACTGATGATCAAATTACATTGAACTGATGATCACATGATATGTTAACTGATGATCAAATGACATTTTAACTGATGATCACATGACATGTTAACTGATGATCAAATGACATTTTAACTGATGATCACATGACATGTTATCTGATGATCAAATGACATGTTAACTAATGATCAAATGACATGTTAACTGATGATCAAATGACATTTTAACTGATGATCACATGGCATGTTAACTAAAGAGTTGATCAGACGTGAGAAAGAGAATGTTTTTGGCCAGGTGTCTTCCATGATTTCACCTCAGATTTGGGTTGAGATATGAATAACTGGCACAGTGTTAAATGAGGTGTACATGAACTAGTGTGTAGTATTTGGTGAGTGCATGAACTAGTGTATAGTATTTTGTGAGTGCATGAACTAGTGTGTAGTATTTGATGAGTATATGAATCAGTGTGTAGTATTTGGTGAGTATATGAGCTTGTGGGTAGTATTAGGTGAGTACATGAACTAGTGTGTAGTATTTGGTGAGTATATGAGCTTGCATGTATTATTTGGAGAGTACATGAACTAGCGTGTGGTATTAAGTGAGTGAGTATATGAATTTATGCGTAGTACTTGAGAGTGTTAATATGAAGTGGAAATGCACCAGTATGTGTTAAGAGGAGGTGGACATGAACCACTGTGTATCAAACCACTATACAAAAACCAGCGATTAGTAATTATGGCCATTTAGGATACTAAAAAACATAAGTGTACTTTCTAAAAAAAAAAAGAAACAACCAACACTCCTTCGACCCCGTATAGCGTTTTGTGGCTAGGCAAAGTTAAGAGCAATCATAACTGCGTAGTTTGTATTCCTAGCCAAGGTTTGTAGTACATGCTACATGTGTAAGGGATAACTCTTCATTTACTAGGTTAAGTTCACGATCAATCCACTTTTCTCTGCCCCACCATCCAATGCCCTAACATGCAATGCCCCAACATCCAATGTCCCTCCGTCCAATGCCCCACCATTCAATGCCCCACCGTCCAATGCCCCACCATCCAATGCCCCACCGTCCAATGCATACCATTCAATGCCCACCATCCAATGCCCACCGTCCAATGCCTCACCATCCAATGCCCCACAATCCAATGCCCCACCCCCCAAAAGCACTCTTGACCATTAAGTGTCATTACATAATCACTTGACCATTAAGTGTCATTACATAACCACTTGACCATTAAGTGTCATAACATAACCACTTGACCATTAAGTGTCATTACATAACCACTTGACCATTAAGTGTCATTACATAACCACTTGACCATTAAGTGTCATTACATAACCACTTGCCCATTAAGAGTCATCACATAATCACTTGACCATTAACTTTCATTATAAAATTACTTGACCATTAACTGTCACTATGTAATCACTTGACCATTTACTTTCATTACATAATCATTTGACCATCAAATTTCATTACACAATCACTTGACAATCAACTTTCATTACATAATCACATGAAAATCAGTTGTCATTGCATAACCACTTGAATATCAACTTTCGTTATACGATCAAATGACAACCAACCTTCATCATAGAACCAGTTAACAATGAAGTTGAACGGCAAAGTTTTCAAACTTATGTTTACACTACTGCCTCTAAAAAAATATGCTTGGTACTTTTAGCAGTAGGGTCAGACTTGTATCAATTCTGTGTCGTGGCTTGGCAAGCCAATTAAGTGGAGAACATGATCGCGCCATCTTTTTTAACATTAGCAGTTGCATACAGCGTGGTAAGATTCATTCATTGATACTAAAAATGCAAATGACCTTTGATTCCTTAGTCAAATGGCTTAATATATTTTTTTAAAATAATATATTAACATGAAATTTTACTAAGGAATCAAAGCATGCTTAATATATATTTTTTTTTCTTCTTGCAATGAGGGAATTAATTTGCTTTGATCGAGCTGATCAAGAGTAACTGTAATGCAGTGATTCGAATGTATTCTTCATTATTTTATTTTGCCAAACAATTTGCTTTACATAAGTCAACAGGCTGTTGCAGATTTATTATTGTGATATAATTCGATTTCATAAGTTGTTTTTTTTTTAAATGAACTCTAACACCAGAAGGTAATACTGAAGCTCAGCAGGCTTCAAACTCTTGCACTGTAGAATAATTAATTTGATTGTGTAATGTACCAGTTTCACTCAAAGCTTTAGATAATGTCTTTGACATCTTATTAACAAACACGTCACAAAAGAACGGACTCTGCACCAAGACAAGACCGGCGCTACCTACGTGGATCAAAGTTTGCTCTCATACACATCTCGCTCACAATTCTATGGCTTGCATTTCAGCCATGCATCGGTAGTCCTGGGGTACATGTTGAGATGGCCAACGTAAAGCTCGCCACTGAATGCATCCCTCCAGACGAGATTAGAGAAGATAAAAAGCCAGCAAAGGTCGCGGGTGTCCCTACAAATGCCAAGTCCGCGAAGATCTCGGAGGCAGAGATGGAGCAAACTAAAGCTACCGCTAATTATACATTTATTTCATGTTAATATCTCGGCCGGTCCTACGATTTCTGGCGCCCTGGGTTAGCTTAACTCTGGCGCCCCTTTTAAGTATAATCTTACAAAAGTGTTAGCAAATAAAACAGTAGGGATTAGGTAATGAGCTAATTGCATTGTTTTCATTTTAAACAAAGAATGAACAATGCTATTACTTAATACTTATTTTCTTAACTTGCATTTGGGCAGTATGAAAAGTGATTCTAACGTGGGCAGTATCTTAGCTGGTACCTTGAGCAGGCCATGGATAGGTAGCAGGCCATGGATAGGTAGCAGGCCATGGATAGGTAGCAGGCCATGGATAGGTAGCAGGCCAGGGATAGGTAGCAGGCCATGGATGGGTAGCAGGCCATGGATGGGTAGCAGGCCATGGATAGGTAGCAGGCCATGGATAGGTAGCAGGCCATGGATAGGTAGCAGGCCATGGATAGGTATCAGGCCATGGATAGGTAGCAGGCCATGGATGGGTAGCAGGCCATGGATAGGTAGCAGGCCATGGATAGGTAGCAGGCCATGGATAGGTAGCAGGCCATGGATAGGTAGCAGGCCATGGATGGGTAGCAGGCCATGGATGGGTAGCAGGCCATGGATGGGTAGCAGGCCATGGATAGGTAGCAGGCCATGGATAGGTAGCAGGCCATGGATAGGTAGCTAAAGTTTATGTGCAAAAACAAAAAAGCGTATTAAAGGCACACCCTTCTTCTTCTATATCTTAAGGGCCGAAATTAAGACAAGAGATCGCGTTCAGATTTTAAGAATCGCTTAAGTTTGATTAATGCCTCAGTTGTAGAAGGGATGGGAAACCTTAATTGTGCACAGTGCCGCATTAATGGTCATTAATTTCATTCTGGCCGACCAAATGTTCAATTAAAAGGGCGAATACCGCCATTCAAGTTGTGCTTCGGAAATTCACTTCGAGTGTAGTCCGAAAATAGGTAGTACATTTTTTTTTTTATTTTCTGTACTGAGATTATTATGGGTTGACTATTGCGTCCTTTAATGATTTTTGTTTGTTTGCTTTAACAGATAAAAATCTTTCACAATTTTTAAAATAACTTTTTACGAAAACATTATTCCAGCTCTCGTTAAGTTCTAGCCCGCCCCAATTCAACGTTTCGGCGGGATCCATGTGGGCCCCCAGGCTGTAGGGTGTCCAACCCTTCATTTAAAGTGTTTTAAAATAAATTTTTAACCATTTTTTGGGGGGTGCGGGGTGATAATCAAAAGATATCAGTCTAACCTAATAGCCATGATATAAAGTAGTGATGGTTCAATGACATCCTACTTACCTCATGCACCTTGATATAAAGTAGTGATGGTTCAATGACATCCGACTTACCTCATGCACCTTGATATAAAGTAGTGATGGTTCAATGACATCCGACTTACCTCATGCACATAGATATAAAGTAGTGATGGTTCAATGACATCCGACTTACCTCATGCACCTTGATATAAAGTAGTGATGGTTCAATGACATCCGACTTACCTCATGCACCTTGATATAAAGTAGTGATGGTTCAATGATATACGACTTACCTCATGCACATAGATATAAAGTAGTGATGGTTCAATGACATCCGACTTACTTCATGCACCTTGATATAAAGTAGTGATGGTTCAATGACATCCGACCTACCTCATGCACCTTGATATAAAGTAGTGATGGTTCAATGACATACGACTTACCTCATGCACCTTGATATAAAGTAGTGATGGTTCAATGACATCCGACTTACCTCATGCACCTTGATATAAAGTAGTGATGGTTCAATGACATCCGACTTACCTCATGCACATAGATATAAAGTAGTGATGGTTCAATGACATCCGACTTACCTCATGCACCTTGATATAAAGTAGTGATGGTTCAATGACATCCGACTTACCTCATGCACCTTGATATAAAGTAGTGATGGTTCAATGATATACGACTTACCTCATGCGCCTTAATATAAAGTAGTGATGGTTCAATGACATCCGACTTACTTCATGCACCTTGATATAAAGTAGTGATGGTTGAATGACATCCGACCTACCTCATGCACCTTGATATAAAGTAGTGATGGTTCAATGACATACGACTTACCTCATGCACCTTGATATAAAGTAGTGATGTTTCAATGACATCCGACTTACCTCATGCACCTGCTTTAAAGACATGTGGTGCTACTATCCAAATCCTATGGCATTCCTGAAACACAAGAGAATGGATGAGTCCATCATGATGAGAGAGATATGAGTTTGATTTAAAGGAGATATTATGGTGAGATAGACTGGCATTTGATGTAAAGGAGATTTGCGAAATGGTTTGTTGACCATTAAAATATCTCTCGACAATTTCGTTTTTCATTTATCTGTTTTAAAATGTTCTCTTTAAATTTTTGATGCTATTCTAACATATCATATTCAAAACACAGACATTGATGTTCAAAATTAACATTCAAAACACTTTCACTGATGTTCAAAACACTGACATTGATGTTCAAAACACTGACATTGATGTTCAAAACACAGACTTTGATGTTCTAAACACTGACATTGATGTTCTAAACACTGACATTGATGTTCAAAACAATTTCACTGATGTTCAAAACACTGACATTGATGTTCAAAACACTTACATTGATGTTCAAAACACTGACATTGATGTTCAAAACACTGACATTGATGTTCTAAACACAGACATTGATGTTCAAAACACTGACATTGATGTTCAAAACACTTACATTGATGTTCAAAACACAGACATTGATGTTCAAAACACTGATATTGATGTTCAAAACACTTACATTGATGTTCAAAACACTGACATTGATGTTCAAAACACTGCCATTGATGTTCAAAACACTTACATTGATGTTCAAAACACTGACATTGATGTTCAAAACACTGACATTGATGTTCTAAACACTTACATTGATGTTCAAAACACTGACATTGATGTTCAAAACACTGACATTGATGTTCAAAACACTTACATTGATGTTCAAACACTGACATTGATGTTCAAAACATTGACATTGATGTTCTAAACACTTACATTGATGTTCAAAACACTGACATTGATGTTCAAAACACTGACATTGATGTTCAAAACACTGAAATTGATGTTCAAAATTAACATTCAAAACACTTTCACTGATGTTCAAAACACTGACATTGATGTTCTAAACACTTACATTGATGTTCAAAACACTGACATTGATGTTCAAAACACTGACATTGATGTTCAAAACACAGACATTGATGTTCAAAACACTGACATTGATGTTCAAAACACTGACATTGATGATCAAAACACTGACATTGATGTTCAAAACACTGACATTGATGTTCAAAATTAACATTCAAAACACTTCACTGATGTTCAAAACACTGACATTGATGTTCTAAACACTTACATTGATGTTCAAAACACTGACATTGATGTTCAAAACACTGACATTGATGTTCTAAACACTTACATTGATGTTCAAAACACTGACATTGATGTTCAAAACACTGACATTGATGTTCTAAACACTGACATTGATGTTCAAAACACTGCCATTTATCTTCAAAACACTGACATTGATGTTCAAAACACTGACAATGATGTTCAAACTACTGACACTGATGTTCAAAACACTAAAAATGATGTTCATCATGTTACTGACCAAGATTACACACATGATTCTGAACCTGTTTCGAGGGTTCACTCCACATCTAGATATAAATAAACCTCATTTAGCCACACCTTCATTATGTAGTGTTTTTTTTTTGTTGTTGTTGCAATGTACACATGGTATTAATTTGCTCCCATAACATTTCGATATGCTCTACAAGAGTTTTCCCCACAATTTTCAATTTGGCTGACCAGTGGACACGTTTCGAATCGCACCAATTATCGGCACCGGATTTATTAATTATATTTTCTTTTCATTTTACCCTAACAATTCATGATACGCGGAGGGGCACCATGGCTTACATTCTTTTATTTTGTTGCAGACCTAGATATTAAATTCAACTTTTTAAGGACAAAGCCCACTGTCTTATGGAGAATTTTTGTTTCTGATTTTGGTTTTATTCTCAGCGTATTGAAGTACATTTAGTACAGCTTCAATGTGGATATGAACTGTTTGATAAACATTGCTAGACACAATATTATCCTGCCATGTCGTAACAGTATGTGCCGCGGGGACACAACAATACTTATTAACATTACGCTTAAAGCTTGAAGAGGCGTTTTGAGTAAGCTTGTGATTTTATTAAATTAGGATTAAGTTATAGCACTGCATGCTGGTCAAATGTATAGGGAAGGAGCGTGCTAGGTGGTTAACATAATCAACATGTGTAAGGAAGGAGCACCTTAGGTGCCTAACATAGTTAACATTTATTTGGTAGTAGCGCCCTAGGTGCCTAGCATAGTCAACATGTATAGGGAAGCAGCGTCCTAGGTGGCTAATATAGTTCACATGCATAGGCAAGGAGCGCCCTAGGTGTCTAACATTTTCACATGTAAAGGAAGTAGCGCCCTAGCTGTCTCACATAGTCCACAGTTATAGGAAAGAAGCGCCCTAAGTACCTACAATAGTCTACATGTATATTGAAGAAGCGCCCTAGGTACCTAGCATGCACTTAAGCTTCGAACAAATTGTTGAATCCTTCTTGCAGCACCCACAAAGCTCTATACTGCATCATTAAATAAAACTTCTATAAAAGGTAAATAAAATAGATGAGACAATTTCTAATATTTATGGTTCCGGGGCTCATGGGTAACAGTGTTGTATCTGATGCTTAACTTTCTACCTCGATAAGGTGTGCTCTATTTATCAGTGGGTGGACTGGCCAACAGGTAACAAGGCATATTTGTAGCCCTTGAGACAACCCAGCACTCCCCAATTAGTTTTGTGGCTAACACCCCGGGGGGGGGGGAACACAAGAGTTGGGGATTTGTGGGGGGGGGGGGGTATTTTCGGGTCTTTCGAGACAAATCTGCTCGGAGATATAAGATGACTTTAATTTACAGAGCTATCTTAATGAAAGATGAAAGAATTACATCAGAAGGGTAACTTTGCAATGATACATTAGTTCCATCACAAAAGCTACTTTGCAATAACAAAAAATGAGATGGGCATCACACGAGGCTACTTGGCATTGGAACAATGACAAGCGTATCATCATGGCAGCTTCACCACGCTACACTACGGTAGTATATCACATAGGTAACTTAGCCATGGCAACATGAGGGAGTATACGAAAAGGGGAACTTTAACGTTACTATGATATATTCCCCGTCTACAAGTTGTGATTTTATTATCTATAAATACAGTCACCTTAAGCCTCCCCACCCCCACCCTGACCCCACAGCCTGATGTCTACAAAGATGGATTGACCTCATAAGCCGTGTAAAAAAACAACAACAACAAAACAACACACCATTGACTGACACAAATTTGTGCGTTTGAGTACCGACACAAGTGAAACCACATTGCCGTTGCTATAGAAACACCAAGAAGTGTTGCTCCAAAATGGCTGTGACCTTGATAACCTCACCTGCTGATGGTAGAGTTAATTGACTGGTGATGTCATGTTTTATTTCGGGCAAGTGCTCCAAAGGCAAAAAAAAAACAACAACAAACAAACAAACAACAAAACATCACGTGTTATAAGTACCTAATAGCAGCAAACCGCTGCTTCAGCCAGGTATCTCCACCCACGCAGGTTGCCATGACGAAGTTAAGTAGGTGGTCTTAATTAGTAGGACATTTTTGTTTGTTTGTTTTACAACGTCCCAGATGTTAATTAACGACCAATTTGGTAAACAGACTAACGGGCTCGATTGTAATCGTCTGTTTGTAAAGTTCAATCAAGTACACCCTATAATAACGTCATGTACCAATGCGTGTTCTTGATGATTGGTTCAGTGAGTGAGTGTTTTGGTGTGGAGATTAATGGTGGAGTTGTTTGCGTATGTGCTTTGCGTTTATTGTGGCGTATTTGGCGAGGAGAGATGACGTTGCTGGATGCTATAGTTTGTGTGGTTAGAGAGTTGCAGAGAGATAGTTGAAGGAAGAAGGCACGCTGATTGTTGAGTAAAGAATCACATGCAATATTGATCTTAAATTAGGTCTAAGGGTGACCAGTAAAAAAAAGAGTTGTATCGGTGGAGTGTTACATAATGTTCAGGAGCTATTTATAAAAAAAAAAAGAAAAAAAAAACCAATCATATTTAAAGTGAAACAAACTTTTGATATTTCATTTGCACTGTTAGAGTCCTTTCAATGTTAAGTCTTGTGTACACAATTGGAAATGATATGCATAGGACATCGCATATGACGTATAAATAAATTAAATTTAAAAGAAGCATATATATATTTTTACACAGAATTTAAATCAATACTATTTCATGTTTACAACGTTACATAATTACATTTATTACAATTGATTTTGTAACGGTGCAAAATACACTAGTTCTTGCATACATATGCACATAAAGTTAAGGTACAGTCCCATTCAACAATATATTTATATACATACTGTTAACAGTTAGGACAGGCATTTTACAATAAGTACTTTGAAACCACCTCAGGATCAAATTTAAAATTCAATTTCTAGACAACACAGATAATTAGTGATACATCAAATAAGAACAGTAACCTGCACTTATGCTTACAGACACTGCCATACAAACACAGACATACAGACACAGACATACAGACAAGCAGATGCGGATATACAAAGACATGCAGACACAGACATACAGATGCAGACATACAGAGGCAGACAAACAGACGCAGTCATACCAACATGCAGACACACAGACACACAAACATACAGGCACAACATACACAGAAACACAGACACAGACATACAGACACAACAGACACAGACATACAGACGCACACTTACAGACACAGATGTACAAACACGAGAAATTACAAAACAGTAACAGCTACGATGAAGGATGTAGCGAGCAAGGAACAGCTGTTACAACAAGTAAATAAACAACAATCCAAGGACAATGAGATGAGACTACACCAATGGAGCAGCCACCAAACATCCCAACAGCAATCTTCTTGAGTCATTCATCAAACCCATCCACTGACCCACTGACTCAAACAACATATCAGCTGACTCACAATGACTCCTTCCTTCACCTCCACACGCCCCACCTAACACTAAAGAAAGGGGAAAAAAAAACTAATCTACTCACCTTTCGTGTACATCCAACCAGTTTGAGAATTTGGCCCTGCTCTACCGAAGGAAAGTTTGTGCATGAAGCAGCTACTGAACACAATCTCTCTCTCTCACTCACTCACACACTGATGAGCTCACTGATGCACGCCAACAAAATAAACCGTTTAGTGAGGGGGCCTCCAGCTCAAGGAATGGGGGAGGGGGTGCAGGGGGGAGTTCACCGCAGACATCTTCCTAGCTCCCTTACGTTAGATTTGGATTTTTAAAAAAAAAAAAAGCAAAAAAAAAAAACAAAACAATTTTTTTCCCCTCTTAACTTTTACGTTTAAATTCCATCAACTTTCCTGCCTGCCACATAGTCTCAGATGCTACCACATATTGCGTCTACTACTGGATACTACCACCCACTGCCACTGACTTCAACACGATACGAAAAATGACCATATACTATTAGGACAAGCTATCTCCTTACAAATCATAGCTCTATTGCCTTATAAAATTGCACACTCCAACCTTCTACCGCCTACTACCAGCTATTACCCATTACCTTATAACACTGCATTCATCAAGTCAGTTATAGTGTTGCTACCTAATCCCAATCAGTACCACATATCTTCATATATAACATTACACATACTCAGAGTTACCACTGCCTATTACTACCTTCAAGCGCTACCAGACACAAAGTAGAAGTATATTTGGAAAGTATCGATACTGTTTAGAACAACGATACAAGTACAATTATGGCTGTAAGTTATTTAGTTTCATCACAAAGGTATTGATACGTCAATTCTTAACGAATAAGATAGACCGATTAATTTTTTATTTTTTTAAATTTATTTTAAATTAGAAAAATTAAAACATTTTTTAAAAATTTCAATATATTTCATGCTTTAAAAAAAAACATTAAAAATGTTGACCAAGTTTTTCCCCCCCCCCCTCCTGTCCAAGTGTTTTCTTTGTTGGATGAGCGCTGACCCCCCCCCCCCCTTCTTTTTCAGGATTGAACTATTTTAGACCCGTGTGTGACCTTGTGTTGACCTAGATGAGACCTGGTGTTGACTTCGGCCCCCTAGAAAATACATTTACTTAATTAAAATATATTTTAACACCAATGTAAGTACATTGATATGTATGTTGTGAATCAGATAATAGATGAGTACAGCCGATAATCCTAAATAATTTTTATTCTGCTGGGCTAGAGATCTGGAAGTTGCATTAAATGATGATCTGAAAAAAAAATAATGTAGTGTGAGGCCTGGAGCCTTGGGTTACGCCTCTGATGGTGGCCATTTTAAAATATGAATTATCTTATCATCAAAGCCATCCTTCTATGAAGTCATGCTTTGCCTTTAAAGGGATTCTCAAATATGAACTTATGACATCAAGAACATAATTTAACAAAGTGATGAAAATAGAACTATGTAATTCCTGTTTAACTGTGGTTGGGTGAAGTGGAGCAGGCAGAGACGTTGTGGAGGGGGAGCTGTCGAGGGGGTTATCGGGGGGGGGGTGGATAGGGAGTTTGTCGAGCGGGGTTGTGGAGGGGCGCAATGGGGTGGGCGTTGAGGAGAACTAACTGGCTTAGGTAAATAAGCAGATATTCCAGTTTAAAACTTGAGAAGATAAAAAAAGGAAAACTAGGTTAAAGAAGGGGAAAATCGGTTTGAGTGCAGGGCTGAGTAAGGTGAGCACACAGCTATTTTCAGCCCTCGCCCCACCGTCGTGTGTTACAGCTCTTACCTCTAGGCTCACGAGGTAGGTCACTCCACATAAACAATACCCCAGGTTCTTCGGCTACCGTCTCCGTACACACGCCACAACTGTTTGTAATTATACATGGGAAATAGAAGGAAGTGAGGTGCCCGAAATGCAAGGGGATCGAACGTTGTCTATGTCAAAACATGTTGTGATTAGGTTGTCTTTTTTAAAGGGAACATTAAGTTGTCTATAACAAAATAACAAAATATGCCGTGAATAGGTTTTAAGAAAATATTAAGTTGTCTATAACAAAATAAGCCGTGAATAGGTTTTAAAAGAATATTAAGTTGTCTATAACAAAATATGCCGTGAATAGGTTTTACGAACATATTAAGCTGTCTATAACAAAATATGGCGTGAATAGGTTTTAAGAAAATATTAAGCTGTCTATAACAAAATAAGCCGTGAATAGGTTTTAAGAAAATATTAAGTTGTCTATAACAAAATATGCCGTGAATAGGTTTTAAGAGAATTCTTAAGTTGTCTATACCAAAATATGTCGTGAATTTGTTTTAGAGAATATTAAGTTATTTATAACAAAATATATCGTGAATAGGTTTAGATAGTATGAAGATGTTTATAACAAAATATGTCGCGAAAGGGTAAGAGGATATAACGTTTATATGGCAAAATATGCTGTCAACGAGTGGAGAGAGAAAGAAGCTGTCTTCGTCAAAATATGTCAGTTATACCTGGTTCACCATTGAGGTCGCTATGGAAATATTTGCCTGTGGCTGTGATAAAATTAATATATTATGTATGTGCTAGTGTTGTCTTGTGAAGCGTTTATTATTTTTTGGGGGGTGTAGGGGCGGTCTTTAATACACCGGCTAAATGAAATGTTTTCACCTCGCCATAGTGCAAGACAAGTAAACCCAATCAGAAGTGGGTGCGAATGGGTGTGAGGGTTGAGCCTGGCCATTTAGACTAGAGGGCTCATCTGCCCAAGAGGCCATTGGGTCTAGAGGGATCATCTGCCCAAGTGGCCAGTTGGTCTAGAGGGCTCATCTGCCCAAGTGGCCAGTTGGTCTAGAGGGCTCATCTGCCCAAGTGGCCAGTTGGTCTAGAGGACTCATCTGCCCAAGTGGCCAGCCAGTTGGTCTAGAGGACTCATCTGCCCAAGTGGCCAGTTGGTCTAGAGGGCTTATCTGCCCAAGAGGCCAGTTGGTCTAGAGGGCTCATCTGCCCAAAGGATTTAAAAGTCACACAAACCTATTAAAACAAAATTTTTTATCCAAATAATTCTTCAAAAAAGGAAAGCCCCAAACAGAACGAAAATGTAAGAAGTAACCGTTTTAAAATAGTATAGCAAGATAATGTATATGCTCGCATAGAGTACAAAATCGTAACTTTGTGCTACCGCTGCTTACATGACCTGGTCCGTCCTTTCTGAAAGAGCTGCTGACGCCTTATGTACCCACTAGACGACTCCGCTCATCCGATAGTGGCAAACTCTCGACACCACGTGTTTGCCTTGAGACTTACGGAAAGCGCACTTTCGCATTTGCGGGTCCAATAATTTGGAACGCCCTTCCTGTCAATCTCAGAAACAACCAGACACTAGAGTCCTTTAAATACGATTTAAAGACACATCTATTTCGCAAACACCTTCTGGGATGATTGTCTACCATATTTTCCAGTTAATGCATATTGACTGTGTTACTTACGGTTGAAATGACTAGAAAGACTTTGACATTGTATGCTTGTAATTAGTTTTTGTAGTGTTGCGTTTGTTTTAAATGTGGTAAATTATAGATTTGTTTTTTTTTTGTTTACTTTGTACCGCGCTTCGAGCCTTTGGGGATGAAGCGTGTTTTTGAAATAATCTTTGTTATCATTATTATTATTATTATTATTATTATTAAATATATATGTATATATATATATATATATATATATATATATATATATATTTTTTTTTTT